TGTGATTTCTGAAATTCCTCTGGATGGTGATTTCAATATTGTCAAAATCAATTTTGTGACCTAATTCTATAGCATGTAGACCTATGGCTGATGATTTTCCAAGTTTTTGTAGTTCAACGGGATTTCTCGGTGGTTGAAGAGATGCTCTACGGTGTTCATTTCTTCTGATTTTCATTTCTCTCTGGTGAGGTTTGTCCCATGTATATCGCATCACATTCCAAGCATTTTATTTTATAGACACAATTAGATAGAGAATCTTTGGGGATTTGGTCTTTTACATGGACAAGGTTGTTTCGTAGTGTGTCTGAAGTTTTAAAGAAAATTCTAATGTCGAGCTGATTGAGTATTCTTCTGATATCGTCTGACGTCTCTGCTCTATATGGAAGGACGGCTGTCGAGGTCCATGTTTTCGGAATGCGTTTTCGGCCATACTTAATGTTTGTGAATAAAATTCCCATTTAGACATTTAGAAGAAAAAATGATTTAGAGAAGAGGTATTTCCTATTCAATTGGATTCTTGTCTATGATTTTAAATAAAATACACAACATCTCATCAATCAGGTGGCGCGATACACTTCTTAACAATAATTAGTCCGTGCCAACATATGAAAGGGGTGATAATTCATGAGAAAAAGTAAAATAAACAATTATAGGATAGAATTGATTTTTAGCCAGTGGATTGCATGATTTTGGGAAAAGAAAAGGCCCAATATTAGGTGACTTCTTCCTCGCCAAACTTGAAAACGGGAAATTGAAAGATATCATCAAGGCGTTTGATATGTATTACCAATTTGTAGATGATACATTTATCTAAGCTGAAGGGAATGAAAACATAGACGAATTGTTGATGAAATCCAACAATGTCCATCCTTCGCTTACTTTTACTTGTGAAGAGGAGCAGGATAGTGAACTGCATTTTCTGGATGTCTTGCTAAGAAGGCACGAAGATGGGTCACTTGTAAGAAGGGTGTATAGAAAAGGTACATTCACAGGGTAATATGCACACACGCACACTTCCTTAGTTACGTGCCCATTAAATATAAAAAGGAATGTTGTAAAATGTCTTGCGAGCAGAGCAAGAAAGATATGTACAGATGACCTCTTACAAAAGGAATTTGAATATATTCACGATTCCTTGACGCGGAGATGGGCTATCCGAGTAGTTTCATAAAGAAACATATGAAAACATCAGAGAGAAAACCTGAGACTCTGACTGCACATAAAATACCTCTATTTATTAAGTCACAATTTAATGGTGCCTTATCAAGTGAGATTTTATTCCAGAGACTTTCCAGGAGCATACGAAGAACGTTTTACACAACATACCTATGTTTGTCATTGTCTAGCTGACGAATGATTGGGATGCAAACGAAGGATAAGCTTGATAGTTTTGCCACATCTATGTGCATTTATCAATTCAACTGCACCTGTGGTGACAGTTGTGTTGTGCGTACTACTATGCAGCTTAGCCAACTAACGTGTTAGTAAACATCTCCCATCGTGGTTTGGCAAAGGACAGACAAAAACAATCCGTAGCTCAATTTTGTCACACTTAATTGATAGTGGTCATGTAATCGAGAAAACGAGAGCCTTCAAAGTAATTCATCGTATCCCACCGAATCTTTCCAATAGACTTCGTATTCGTCTACTGCACACAGCTGAGGCGATAGGCATTCGAACTATTAAACCTAAACTATGCATTCAAAAGGAGTTCGTACAGCCATTATCCCTCCCTTGGCCTATTAAGACATAACCAACTAATGACTTCTCCACCACGCCTTACTTATATTTTCAACCTCTCTACCTTATCATCCTTTAATCTTATCACATCTTCATTAAAAACGTATTTCATTTATTTCCCTTACAATCTAGCATTACTTAATCAGTTCATTTGGCTTTCTTAGTCTTTATCGACTACTATATCTACCTGAACATTTGTTTGTTTAATCATGCTGTTTGTCGTTATTCGTGTTATTACAGATCGCCTCACTTTTTCATCTTTATTATTGAAAGAACCATTATTATTATTATTTTTATCATTACTACTATTATGACTAACTGCACAATTTATACTCACCATCTTATTATCCTATAGACAAACCACCATGACTGGTTTATATTTGTATTTTTATTTGTAAAGTTATGTATATTAGAGTTAAGCCTGATGAGATCTTATTGAAAGCACAATATTGTTCGCCTAAGTGTGTTGTTCTAAAAGAAAAGGAGCAATTATTTGAGTGCTCAAGTTGGTTATGTAATATAAGCAGTTAAACATGAAGTAGTCAGAAAAATAGAGAAAAATTTGGACAATGATAACTTGTAAAGGGCTTTAAGGGAGGAAGGAAATTGTCCGGTTATTTACATTCATGTAATGATGGAGAAGGTAGACAAAGTGGCAGCACAAATTTCTTCTGAACACAGTAAGTCAGGTTTGTTCAGGTGGATTCTGATTTCTTCAACTGTATGTATGTATGTAGGAGATAAACTCGTAAGGCAAAATTAATATTAGTCAGGATGTGACAAATAATTTCAAATGATTTATTAACATCAATTGTATGCTGACTGTCTACAAGGTGTGCTAGAATAGATGTACGAATGGATTTTGTTTGTCACTTGATTAACCATGCAGGATGATGTTCAGGAATAAGATGTTGAACCTGCTTAATTCTATGCCCACAGTAGTAGTCAAACGGCTAGATTCATATAGAGGCGACGAAATTGCGAACAGGATAATACGAGATCGTTTTATTTCGTGAATTCTCTTTCTTCAACTGTCTACATCAATTATAAGTTACAAAATGGTGTCTAAATATACTTTTTTTCAACTATGACTTCAAGTTATAGATAGAAAGTATAGGCGACATTATTCCAAAAATGACGTAAGTAGACGAATTATTCAGCGTTAAAAAAGTAATTATTTATATAGTATTTAGACGAAGGGGTGGAATTCAGATTTCTCTTGGATACAAGGATAAACTAGAGACAAATTACAATATAGAACAACAGAGTGGATTTATACATATTATAGTGGAGAGTTCAGGAGGGTGATGGTGGAAACGAATAGCATAATATGCCATTTGAAACACCTGTATTTTATTTACCGCGCCATGAAATGTACTTTCCGAAGCGTCACTCTTCGTCCCCATTCCCCGCTCCTCTGTAACTAAACTCCACCTTCGAAGCACGCTAAACAAACTCTCCACCATAAATATGTATAAAATTTCTGTAGTCCATCCTTGTTTCTAAGAGAACTCTGAACTCTACCCCCTTGTTCATTGAATTACTATATAAATAGTTACTCTTTCAACACTGAAGGATTCTTCTACTTACATCGTCTTTAGGATTAAGTTGTCTATACTTTCCATCTATAACTTGAAGTCTAAATTGAAGGAAGTATGTTCAGATACCATTTTGTAATGTATAATAATTGATTTGCTTGGGAAATTAATCTGATGCTCACTAGTGAATGGTCCTATTCAGGCAGTTAACCTGGGGTTCTAGTGGGAAGCCGTGACCAGTCGGGTACAGCGGGGTGAAGATGAGGCAGTAACTCATCGAAGAAGACCTTGCGAAATGATCGCGCTGTCGTGAATTGGCAGAAGTTAGAATTCAAGGACCATTGGATCGGGTCCCAGTGGGTCAATAGTCTACGAGCTCGCCTTGTAACCAGAAGGTCCTGGGTTCAAACCCCGGTTGTGGGTGCGTACTGATGAAGAGACCCAAACTGGGACGAAACAGCTATCCAGTACTCCCAGGTTTTCCAGTGGTTCTCTAAACGATGTCAGCTCATGATGAAATCCTCCATGTAATCAAACAAAATCCCTACAAAACCAATACTTGAAAATTAGTAGAGAATTAACGAAATGAAACGATCTCGTGTTATCCTATTCGCAAATATATGTTCTCATTCTTTCTTTATTCAAGCTAATAAAAGGAATCGGTTGTATGAAAGAGACGAAATTAGATGGTTTATCCTTATTTCACGAACATCACATTAGAGTGGTTGTGCGAAGCGGCAGAGTACCTCTGGTGTATTGATGATTGCGTTCTTTATTTTTCAAACTGCCATTTCTTTCTCGGACCCTGTGTTATCACTAAAAAAAAGAAGCAACCTCAGTTTTTTTATGTGAACAAGGGCTTTTTTTGTAGGAGCTCATCTGCCTTAGTGCTAAATTTATCTGGATAACCACTTTGTACTAAGTAATTCTCTGATGGCCTCCAAAGCCTCAGGATGGTCGGGGGTGGGTGCCTTGCTCTGCGGGTTGGCCACCCTTCCGCACACCTCTCGAAGTGCTCCCATATGACCAGGCGTCTTACATAGCCTCTCCTGAGGAAGTCCTACTTACTGCCTTCACGTGGCGGAGGTGTTTTTCACCAAAGTGAGAGGGCGAAAGCGGATGCCCGGCGCTCTTCACCGGGTTGACTGTCCATTGGATGACAGTCTAGGGGAGATGGCTAAACCCTGATTCCAAACCTCCAACGACTGGCGTATGAAGCTCACTGGAGCTCACCGGCAGACGTATGGACAAAGGGCTTGTTGGATGTCCTGGATGTCTGGCCCCATTCAAAAAGGTGTATGAACCGAACTCTGGTCACCGGCTGCCAATGGATAGTGGACTCCCTACTCCACTCCTACTGCCTTGTAGGTCACACTTGGTTGTGTAAAGGCTAGAGCTGCACTCTCAAACAAAAGGCCGAGCGATTCTGGGGACATCACTCGTACCGAATTCCCATGAAACTTCATGAACTCTCTTAATTGCATAACCCTGTCGCAAAACGTTGCGTCAGATCGCCGCTCCTGGGCAGCGATGATTCGAGATGTTCATGAAGCCGGCTCATCCTCCCGTAGGAGATAGCCGAAGTAAAGTAAAGTAAGTAATTCTCTGATGATAATGTTAACCTGCTTATTGAAAAAGTCGTTTGAGCAGATTACCCCAATTCTCTATGCTCATCTTGTTTTATTGTTGTCTGTTTTCCTTTTTTCATTGTGTCATTTTTAGGCATGGACTATTCGTGCGGTAATGGAATAATAAGCGAGAATTTTCTTCTTTTCTGGATTTATGCAGCAATTCGCTGTCCCACTCCAACACCAACACTACCCCCTCCAATTTGTTTTTTAAAATAGACCCTTACAACCTCTAAATTTGTTCAGAATTTTTGTATATTTTTCCTTTAACAAACAACATCCCCCGCCTTTCAGCTATGCGCGCCTGAGCACTCGCTTGACTTTTCTTCGATGCTTCTCTGTTACACACAACTGTGTCTTGGTTGTTTCCAATTTTTCATATTTTCTTTGTAAATCTCTTTTACAAGAAATTGGCTGTGATATTCTGTATTGGCATGCACTCACTCACACACACACACGTATATATATAGGAACAGTGTCAAAGTGCTATACTGATTAATACTCCCCCTCCTCGTACTACTACTACTACTAATATATTATTATTATTATTATCGCCTTAAATACACATCAAGTGATCTCAGTGGACTGTGTTGTAATCTGTGAACAAACGTAACCGCCACCCTCCCCCACCCCAACACCAGCATCACTACCAAACACTACTAATATGTATGGCGGGGGTTCTTTCTTTCTATGCATTCTCTCTCTCTCTTGTTTTTTTTCCAATCATTACTTTCACTTTCCTTTCTGTTTGTCTTTTTGTTAAAAAAAATCCATATTATAATTTAACAGATTTTTTTTGATGTTGTGCAAGAATAAACAGTGCAACTTTTCTAACTTTTCAGTATGCTAATATTATTATTATTATTACTACTACTACTACTATTAATATTATCACTATGTGATATATGTCGTGGGTTTCTTTTTAAATCACTTCTGTATGAAGATAACATTGTTAACGGATTCAGAGATCATGGATTGTGTTGTTTTTATTTTGCGTTTATATACACATAAAGAAAATCAAAACAACTGGTGATTCAGCGAAGAGACTCTTTTCAACAACGAGTTTATTTTCTATAGTTTGGTTTGTAAGGATTAGTTATGTTTTACGAGTTGATCACGGACTGATATCAGTTAGAGAACCATTGAAAACCAGTCACAGGGAGTACTGGACAGCTGCTGTTTCATCCTAGTTTGGGAATCATCGACAGTACGCACCCACTGGGATTCGAACCCAGGACTCTTAAAACATAACTAATCCTTACAAACCAAACTATAGAAAATTATTCTGATGCTCGCTGGTGACTTGCTACAGGTTGGAGCTTCCTGGAGTTCTAGTGAGAAGTCGTGACCAGTGAGGTGCAATTAGAAGTCACGTGTGTGGATGGATGTCCCACCAACGACAATAGTTGGGGTCGCGCTAAAATCACGAATTGGTAGGAGTTAGAATTCATGAGCCATTGAATCGGGTCCCAGTGGCTGAATGGTATACGAGCTTGCCTTGTAACCGGAAGGTCCTGGGTTCGAATCCCAGTGGGTGCGTACTGTCGATGATTCCCAAACTAGGATGAAACAGCAGCTGTCCAGTACTCCCTGGTTTTCAATGGTTCTCTAACTGATATCAGTCCGTGATCAACGAATTTATTATCAAGCTATACAATCGTATATATCTGGTTTTCAAGAAGTTATATCCGATGAAGGAATTCAATCATAGGTGTGAATGCATAAAATAATAATAGTGGTAGTACTATTAAAATGCAATTAAAATGAGGATATTTGTGATTGTAATCATAGTTCAATGCCAAGTGGCAAAACAATTAATGTCATATATAGAATAATTCCCAGGATGGATAGATGCTGGAATGGGGTTTGCAATTATAGGATTTGTAGACAAATCGAATAAAATAAAAACGTTACGTAATATTGTGTGAAATTTTCATGGTCTTAATCTCTCTATGCTTAAGTGTGGTAATCCCTAATCACATTTTGGCTCTACCAGTTTTTTTTTTTTTCATTTTGTCTATTCACTTCCTTTATTAAGTCAATCGTCAGTTACTATTACTATTCTCACTTTCAACTGTCCCCGGGTATTATTTCACTTGTCATTCTAAATCAATTCTGTTATGCAACGTTCAATTCTATGTCATCAAATTTCACACAATGTTACGAAACCTTTTTTATTTTATTCGATTTGTCTACTAATCCTATAATTGCAGGATCCTATCCACCTAAATCAGGAAGATAAGTGAGAATAGACAGCAAGCAGTTCCTAAATTAATTCCTGAGTACAATGAAGTCATATTCTGCTTAGAGTTTTCTGTAAATACTAATGTTTAACTTGCCCTCTTTTTTTTCCTCGTTACGGTGCAGTCTAACATTGAGAGGTCCCTTTCGTCATTTTACAACTCTCATAAATAGCCAGAATTACACCTGCTACTGAATTTATGCCTTCAAAAAAAATCTTTTAATATCCTCTTTAGAATCAGTAGTACCTGCTAGTTAGTCAGATCGAGATGCACTAAACACTACAAGGGTGTTTCTTCTATCTAGGATCGAGCTTTTTAATCCAAACGGATCAAAAATGCTTATGGTGAGTGATGCATTAAATCTCTGAACCAATATAGAAGCACTGACATTACATTAGTGAAAATTAAAAATTATATCGACTAACAAACTAGCTCAGTCAAAAGTCTACAGACAACCTGAGCAATAATCACTATCAGTAATGACCAGAGACATAAAATATCTGTATCGAAGTAAGCAGAATGATCAATCATAGGAATTTCACAAGTTAATTTGTAAGAATTTCATTTGTTCTCAAAGTTAGACCACGAATTGATATCAGTTTGAGAACTTTTGAAGACCAGCATCGAGTAATGGATATCTGTTTCGTGCTAGATTGGGGCTCATCGACAGTTCGCACCCTGTGGAATACGAATCCTGGACCCTCCTGGTTACAACTCAAGCGCGTAGACTACTCACCCACTTAAACCCGACTCTAAATGATTTCAACATAGAACTTTGCACTGATGTGCAGCAGTTCCAGTTGCCACAGTTCATGTAACACACAACGCAAGAGAAGAGAGATAATAAACAGAGGTGTGAAGGAAAAAGAATAGTAGTAATATGGAAGAACAATAGAATCTTTTTGAATTTTATAAATGCCAAGGAGTGGATGCATCTGCGCCAGCCATTGAAAACGAGGATTTTTAGCCATATCACCAATTGTCTCCAGCCGTCATTGGTTCTTACCATCCTGAGGATCCAAATCAGTCAGTCTTACACCTTCCCACGTGGCTGACTTAATCTAACTGTATTGCATTTCATTAACTGATGAGGCCATGTTTTGGTCTGAATACCACTAACAGCTCTTCTCCGACTTGATCAACCCCATATCAGTCAGCTAACATTACCCGATGTCGAGGAAGGTGATCGACGGCTAGGAATGCGTGTGTAACACATGTTTGAGCCATCTCAGTCGGTTTAACCTCACAACCTCATCGACTGATTTCCCCTTCTTATCCGGCACTCAACCAAAGCCTAACCTCAATATTGCTCACCCTATTACACCGACCACCTAACACGGGAGATAGAAGGCAAACACCTATGATCAAAGACAGCTTTTTCATGTCTTCCACTCTCAATGGCCAGGTCTCAGACTGTTGAGTGATATCATGAACCATTGAAGCCATTAAGTGATATCCGAATGAGAGAACAACGACTTCGAGGCGTGGATGATTCGACTCGGTAACACATGAAAGAGATCGTTTGAGGTGGAAATGAGAACACTAATGGACAATTGTGGAGCGAACTCCAGCTAAAAAGGACTACAGAGAAAAGAACTAACTGTTGTGGATTCCACTGATTGATGAAGCCATGTTTTGGATTAGCCAACCTGATCAGTTAGCTAATATTGCCCATCGAGGAAGGTGATGGCTAGGCATGCGTAACAGATGTCCTAACCATCCCACTCAATCGATGCGACTATTCCGTAACCTAGTCAATAGATTTTCCATTCTTGTCCAACACTCGACTGAAGCCTAATCTCAATATTGCTCACCCTATTATTACACCAACCATCTAGGATCAAAAATAGCTAGCTAGCCTTTTCATGTCTTCCACTTTCAATGGCCATGTCTCTCAATGCCTCGTAAATTTTAACCTATATCATCTATTAATGATTTTGGCGCGACTACCACTGCGTGTACACCGCCAGTGAAGCCCAAACTGGGACGAAACAGGCGTCCAATACTCCCTATTGTTCTCTAATTAATCTCAACCCTTGGTCAAACTTAAAAAACAGATCGTTAGAATAATAATATATGCGTAAAACTTAGGCACTGTGGTAGTAAGTAATTCCATATCAGTTTGTTTATTAGATATATCACACAGTGAGAGTATTATTTACTGGATATGACATCCTCAGTTATCAGCTTGTCTACCGCTACACTGCAATTCAGTCCCGTTTCTATTATACTTATTTCTGTGGGATTTAACACATGTGTTGAGAGAGTGATAACTCACTTTGTTTTATCGATCGCCGTTGACTTTCGATTGCTGATGTCATCGTTTTCCTACAATAACTTACTGACCTTTTGATTTTAGTATTCTTTGACTTTTTGAAAGTCACTGATTTGGTATTGCTAGAGGACCGTGTTACAAGATCATAACATCCACATTGGTAACTATTCCCATTAGATTTTGCTTAAACTGCTCAATTTCATAACTGATATGATACAACTTTTTAACAATTCTGTGGATCTCTTCTTTTAGGCATAATTTTTGTAGACTTTCTACTCTGCTTCTTACTTTGTCTGTTGGAACCGGAGATCGTAGGCGTAGGTATTTAGGAATGATTTCAATTTTCAAAGATCGAATGTTGAAAATACGATGATTTTCATATTTTGCTTCAGTTTGAGAAAGTCGAGTGAGTTTATGGATAAGTCTTCGTACAGGAAGACCATAAGTCATATTAACATATGTGTAAAACTTGGGCACTGTGGTAGTAAGTAATTCCATATTAGTTTGTTTATTAGATATATCACACAGTGAAACAGTATTATTTATTATTATACAGGAAATAATGTGGCGAGTGCTACTGATAGGACTTATCAGTAGTATATTAGGAGACGTTCATCGGCATGAAAACAGCGAATAGCAGGGAGATACATTTGATTTCAGAGGACGCAAATGATACAGCGTTGTGGAGATATATGGGAGACGTGAAAGGAACACAATATGAAGGCGAGAATCAGCACAACACGAAGATCTCTGAAAATGGTGCGTTGAAGATAAAGTAAACATAATTTCGCTTTATAGCGATACCGATTCCCAAATAAACATTCCTTTACCAAGTCTTCGTCTTCTACCATTTCAATTGGTTTCCCTGCCTCCAGACAATGATGATCCCATGGCTGGCCGTTTTCGAGGAAGGAGACATTCGGAGCTACTTGCGGGACTTTGAAGTCGTTGGTGGGTGGCAAGGATTCGACGGCGAAGGCGGTCGTGCTAGGGACGCTGCTAAGAAGTCGAGCATAGGCGGCGTATGACAGTGTGGAGCAGAAACCTGGAAGGTGTTGGTTGAATGATTAGTGGCGGAGTTCAGACAACTAGCGACGCAGGTACCGGAGGTAGACCCGCTAGTGTTGGTGGTGAAGCTGACGAATCTACAACGTCGTGCACTTCCCATATTGGATGAAGAATCGGAGTCGCAGATGTTGGTGTTCCAGATCACCGACAGTGTCCCAGACCACATGTCTCAACAACTACAACTGGTTAACGCTGCACAACCCTTAGACATTGGTGAGCTGGCGAAGATGACCAGGAAACTGCTAAGCACAACGGTAGCACACCAACAGAGCTACCGAAATTGAACAAGTGGTAACCGAAAGTGGAAGAGTCGCAACGTGAAGTAATGGCAATACGAATGAATGCCCGATATCTGCCGATGAACGTCTCTTTATTTACTACTGATAAATCTTATCAGTAGCACTCGCTACAATAATACTGTTTTAACGGTGTGATATTATATATATATATATATATATATATATATATATATATATATATGGATTTCATTGACTGGTGATATGTTTTGGTTTGACCACCGCTAGCTCTTTTCTAGCCTGACCTTATGTCAGGTAACATTGCCCGCTGTCGAGGAAGGCGATCGATGGCTAGGCATGCACGCGTAACACATGCCTATGTTCCAGAATCTGTCAAAGGGTGAAGATGTGATCAATTTACCCTCTTCCTGGTTTAAAGCCTACCTGCCTATATATATAATAAACAAACTAATATGGAAGATCGTTAGAATACTTTATATTCAGAAATATAATAATACTACTACTATAATAATAATAATTACTATTATCCACTCCCTCCAAATATTTTATATTTCTGTACAATATTTATACTTCTCACATATGATTGATCATCAGAAGAAAAATTAACATTGTATGTACATAGAATGAATTATTATTATCATTATTATGATTATTTTTCCATGCTACGAACTGTTTAACACTTCCGTCTTCTCCACCACTGTATGCATGCGGTTGTCGTGTATGAAAGGTAGTGGCAAAAACATTCGATTGACTGCTTGGTTGTCCAGTACGTATTAATTGGACGGGTATAACAATCGGCTTTGACAGTAAATCACTGAAATAAGCAATAAAATTTTAAAGAATTTTCTTTAAAAAAAGGCAACGTCAAGTAAGTTAATTTAGAAATACTCCTCAGTTGAAAAATTTCCAAGTGAGTGAGTGAGTGGTTAGACAAGTTACTTATGAATAACAATTAAATCGATAAAGATCTACAGAAATGGATCAACCTAAAAAACCAAACAGGTAATCAAAGACCTGACCACCCTAGAGTTGATTACACATGAATTTGTAGGTATGCTGTTTTTGACATAGAACTTTGCACCGATGTGCAGCAGTTCAATTAGCCACACTCCCACCTTGTAGCGCACAAACCAAGACAAGAAAGTAGAAGAAATGCATAATAGACACAGTAGACAGGGATATGAGACAAAAGGAATAATAATATCGAAGAACAACATAGTTTTATTGGATATTATAAGTCACAAAGAGTGGATGCATCTGCGCCAGCCATTGAGAACGAAGATTTTGAGCCATATCACCAATTGTCTCTAGCCGTCATTGGTTATTACAGTCTCGAGGATCCCAACCAGTCATAGCCAATCTACACTTTCCTACGTGGCTGGCTTAAACTAACTTTTGTGGTTTTCATTGATTGATGAAGCCATGTTTTGGTTTGACCGCCACTTGCTCTTTTCCAACATGACCCTATGTCAGCTAACATTGCCCGTTGTCGAGGAAGGCGATCGACGGCTAGGCATGCATGCGTAACACATGTCCTAACCATTTCAGTCGATGTAGCTTCACAGCCTCGTCGATTGATTTCCCCTCCCTACCTAGCACTCGACCGACGCCTAACCTCAATATTGATCACCCTATTACATCGACCACCTAACACGGGAGATAGAACGCAGACACCTATGATCAAACACAGCTACTCGTTTCATGTCTTCCACTCTCGATGGCCAGGTCTCACAGACATTAAGGAGGACGGAGCGGACTGCTGAGTAGTACACACGCTCTTTGGTCGACAGCCAACCGGATATCACGTCTACTTAGCGAGAGACGGTGTAAACTGGCGTATGTGAAACTAGCTTTCTGTATCCGTGCTGAGATTTCATCAGCGATCAGCTACCCGTTGGGATTGGGTCAAACAAATTTCCAACCAAATAAGTGAAGTGGTCAACGCGCTCTACCACTTCACTCCCTATTTCTAAGCTAGGAGTCAGTGTAGTCCAGGGAGCGAATCGTATGCGAAACATTCGTAGATTACAGCTCAAGGTGTTCAGAAGACTACATTTTGTCAGCGTCTTCACCTAGAAGGACTATATCATCTACATATTCTATGACAACGAAATTACTCCCTGGTGACAAGTCAATCCCTGAGTCTCTGAAGTGAGTTCGGGTTAAATCCCTCAGTACATCTGTAGTGAAATTGAATAGAAATGAGGATAGTGGGCTTCGCTGTCGGTCACCACTACTTGTCACCACTTCAGATGACAACTCGTCATAAGCCCTCACCTGGCTGACTGCATGAGTTTTAGTAAAGTGAGTGCGTTCATCGGTGCAATGTATTTTCTCGACATTCCTTTTACAGCCAGGCGTCGCCAGAGTACCTCTCGGTCGACAGGATCGAATGATGCCTTCAGGTAGGTCAAGAAATATAACGATTGTTGGACGCCGCCAGTAAGTGTGCCTATGTTCCAGAATCTGTTGAAGGGTGAAGATATGTTGAATACACACTCTCCGTGGTCTAAAGCCTGCCTTCCTAGTTCTCTCGTGTTTGTGCCTCCCCAGCTCCACCACCTAGTCTACGCATTATTACTGAGCCTAGGACTTTAGATACCATGTTAGTCAAGCTAATCCTCCTGTGATTATCACAGGAAGACTTGTCTCCCTTCTTGTATGCGCGCATACATGGAAACTAATGAGCCAAAATAGTTACCGATTGCTTTCGCCCATCAATAAGGACCAAAACTTTCTGGAAACTAACTTATTTTTACGAAACTTTTATATGACGACAATAGATTGAAAAATACACTCCAGTCCTATTGGATGAACAAGGATGGACGAATGTGGTGACGATAACCAACCAACAACAACCAATATCAATCGCGATGAACGCGAGAAATTCACAAAAGGTCATAACCCTTCACTTATCTGGCTAGGCAGCATTGCTTCAACCACAGGCGGATACACAGCACTGATGAGGATGACAAAGAGAGGATCGTAAAGGCAAGGCAGATCTTCATCACTCTGAAATCAGTTTGGAAATCTCCTACACTCCACCTCAGCATAGAGGACGAAATTCAGGTTTTTAACGCTAATGTTAGATAACTCAGTGGTGCTTCTACATGTTTCAGAAACTTGGCAGGCACGTCATTAAAAGCACTTCTAACAGGCTGCTGTGGACTTTCATCAACGGCTGTCTTCGCTGGCTTCATACACTAGAGATCAAATGGCCAACCAGAAAGAATTTCGGATTGTGAGGTCGATTGTTACTTCCCGGCTGCCCACACCGTGGAAGTTGGTTGCGTGACCGCAGAGCCCAGGGGACAACTGCTTGAGGCCGGTCACACGCGGCCTGTTTTTGTTTGTTCCTATTCATTTGGTGTGTCTCAGTAGTATATTTATCACTTCTGCCCTGTGACACGGCAGCAGGAAGTGCGGTCGTTGTTAATCCGGGCCCTGACTGATCCGGTATGGTATTTTTTGATATTTACTTTGAGTCATAGCATTGGGTTAGGGCAACTGCTTTTTGTCTAACCGCTATCCAACCAACCTTTCTGGCATGGTAGGACCTCAAGCAACATAAGTCTCAGCCAGTAAAGCTTGTTGGGTCATTGCGGTGTTCAAGCCCGACCACCATATCAAGGTAACAGCTTTCGGTCGGGGACCAGAAAGAATTAGAAACAGGAAACTCTGGAAACGAACCAACCAACAAATATGTCGAAGAGAATAGAGATGGATTAGACACACTCTGGGAAGACTGTCAAATGACATCGCGCGCCAGACTATGGTTCGAGTAGAGTTAGGTATGTGTCTAAGGGTGATATGGAGGAGATTATGTGAGAAGAAAATAGAAGCCTGTTGACAGTCATGGGGTCAGGCTGAAGAGGAAGTGCAACATGTACTACTGATAAGACTTATCAATAGTATATAAAGAGATGTTCATCAAATAGCAAGGAGATGTCAGAGAAAGCAAATGATACAGCGGTAAGCAAACACGTCGTGGGAGACGTGAAAGAAACACAATATGAAGGAAGGCCAGAAGTAGCACAACACGAAGACCTGTACAAATGGTGCGTTGATAAGATAAGAGGTATACCTAATTTAGCTATACAGAGATATCAATTTCCGAATAGACATTCCTTTACCAAGTCTTCGTTGTCTCCTGTTTCAGAAGTGTCAAGAACAGGTACACAATAAAGATTTGCTGTGTAAGCCTTCCATATTCCATTCAGAACCCAAAGGAACAATAGTTGATAGTAGTAGTAGTAATAATGAGGCATATAACACACAACAGCTTTTAGAGCTACTGTGGTGAGTGCTACTTATAATCCGATATAAGTAGTATATCAGAAACAAAGTAACAATATGTTTGGCTGAAAGGAATGTTTATTTGGTGAAACGTATCGTACATAGCTAAATTTGGTATACCATATTCTCAACCGGCCATTTGCACATCATTTACCACATCCTTAACGAATTGGTCGAATATCGTCTCATTCGATAGCTTCTTGGATTCTGCATCATATGGCAACATTCTTCTCATGGTTCTCTTCTTTGATTGCTCTTTCCAGTGTGCCAAACATATTGTTACTTCGTTTCTGATATACTACTTATATCGGATTATAGGTAGCACTCACCCCCTCATTATAAAGTCTCTTCTGTAACCGCCTTGATCGCCGCACAGACGTTTCATCCTGCTGCTCTTCTGGTAACTCGTCCTGGCATTCTTGTCTCCATCTTTGTAGCAGACTGGCGTTTACTCTTTTCTCCTTATCTCCTCTCTTTATTGTGTACACTGGACCGCGTCTCGATGTGACCACATATGGTCCCTCCCACTTCGGCAGGAGCTTTCCTGATCCTGGTCCACTTCCGGTAGTATACTTTCGTTCTCTACATTTCACCTGGTCACCTACTTCAAACAGCTTCCAAGCTTTGATTTGTTTCTTGCCATAATTTTCGATGTCTATCTTGCGCTTCTCTTGTATATTCTGAATAGCTTGTTTCCGCTCACTTGTCCATCTCTTACTGTTCCATTTTTGTTGTTGTGGCCAAGTCTCATGGTGTACCTGAGTGTGGTGAGTGCTACTTATAATCCGATAAAAGTAGTACATCAGAAACGAAGTCACAATATGTTTGGCACACTGGAAAGAGCAATCAAAGAAGAGAACCATGAGAAGAATGTTGCCATATGATGCAGAATCCAAGAAACTATCGAATGAGACGATATTCGACCAACTCGTCAAGGATGTGGTAAATGATGTGCAAATGGCCGGTTGAGAATATGGTATACCAAATTTAGCTATGTACGATACGTTTCACCAAATAAACATTCTTTTCAGCCAAACATATTGTTACTTTGTTTCTGATATACTACTTATATCGGATTATAAGTAGCACTCACCACACTACCACTAATAGTTGTTTAAGACAATCAATAGTAGACAAAATTCCACCTCGAACTGCTTCTCTACCAATTAACAAATACGTGAAAAAGCACACAAATTGAAAGAACAGAGCGAAGAATTATTGTCTGCATTTTTGAATACACATACCTAAAAGAATGTGAAACTGAATAAGAAGAACTAACTCACTATTATTAAACAGTTAAAACGACATTTATATACGCGGAAAATAAAACAGTAGTCAACCCTTACACTGTCTTGTTGATTAATAATCTGACAAAGCAAAATTAAACAATTTTGATGACGTCATACATCCTCCTATTATCTCGTGTTCTGTTGGTTGGAGGATTTTATCATGACCTGACACATCAGTTAGAGAACCATTGGAAAACCCGCCACAGTGAGTACTGGAAAGTCAGCTGTCTCGTAAGTCTAGTTTGGGACTCTTCAACAGTACACACCCACACCACCGGGGTTTGAACCCAGGACCTTCTAGTTACAAGGCGAGTGAGCTCGTAGACCATCTGACCCGATCCAATGGCCAGTCAGTCCATGAATTCTAACTTCTGCCAATTAATGACATGGTGCGACCGCTTCTCAATGTCTTCGTCAATGAGTTACTGGACTCGCCTTCAACCAGCTCCACACTACTTACTGATCACGTCTGTGTACTGATGAAGAGTCCTAAACTAGGCTGATGAAGCAGCTGACTGTCAAGTACTCCCCCCTGTGGCTGGTTATCCAATGGTTCTCCAAATGATATCAGCTCATAATGAAATCCTTCAACCAGTCAAACAAAATTCCCTACAAAACCAATAGTTGAAAAATATCTCATGTACTGTTGAAAAAGTTTTGTTCAGTTTTGCTTTCTTCTCTTTTTTTCCATCTGAACATCATTGACAACTTCGTTTCGACCCACGAGTATTTGTTTAATGACACCATAAATAGTCACTGCTCCTTTTTAACTCTTGATAACTGATTAACTTCTATATATCATTTTGGAGATCTATAGGTTCCTATCACACTTACTCCTTGTCCTTGTGGAAAACGTACAGTGAAATCATGTTTATATATATCTTTTACATTTTTGTTGTTTTGTTCAGGGTGTAGTCACAGCTAAGATGAAACCGTGAAACCGAAATAAAGAATAAGCAGACATTTGCTGTTCTTGCTTTTCATCAAGTTGACTAAAGTGAGGCAGAATTGTATATGTAGGTTCTACAACATCATTTTATATATATGATTGGAAGCAATCAATCGGAAGGAAACCCTAACTGACTTAGATTTGATTCTCGTCGGCATTCGAAACCCCATCCCCCCCCCATTTATTTCCGTCAGAAAGGTGTATGTACAACCTTGAAGGAACAACTCATATCTCTATTTCTGAGATTCGAAGGTGTACCACCACCTCTATGTGCTGGAGTCAGAGACGTTACCACCGCAACCAACGGATTGATTGGTGATGAAATCTCAGCACGGATCCGAAAAGCTCGGGCTGCTTTCGCTAACTTACACCGGCTCTGGCGTAGGTCACATGCTGCGCATGCCTAGCCATCGCCTCCCCCGACGGACGGGCATTACTAGCTGATATAGGTGCAGGTTGGAAAAGAGTAAGTGGTGGCCAAACAAAAACATGGCATCAATCCATGAAATCCTTGACAGTTAAACTGAGTCAGGTAGGGAGATGCAGACTTCCTGGTCGGAGCCCGCCCTCGGGACTCTAAGAATCAATGGCTGGAGACAGACAATAGGTGACATGGCTCAAAATCGTTGTCAATGGCTTACGCAGATGTATTCATCTCTGTATTCTTCAGTCTCATATTCCTTTCTACCATTACTCATTCTGTTTAACTCTTATACCTGTCAAAACTCTATTGATTCTCTTCACTCATTTTCTTGTCTACCTTTGTGTGCTCTTTGGAACGTGGCAACTCGAACTGCTGCACTTCGGTGTCAAGTTCTGCGTTGAATCCAGACAGACAGAGAGACAGTTACCACCGCATTATTATTCGGACTCGAGATAAACCTACTGTAGGATACTTTGATTGGACACTAGGCAGTGTTATGAGTCTAGTCCTCACTAAACTCTATCAGTCTATCTATCAAAACATGCAAAACAGTCTTATAGAAGGTGATTCGCAAATCCGAATACCGCAGTGGTAACAGTTCTAACTTGCAGCATTAGGTGATACAGGTTCGAATCTCAGAAAAAAGGGGACATGAGTTTATTCTCTCCACTTTGTAGATATGCCTTGCTGACTCACTGGTGAGTGCCTAGGTTTTACTGCTAGATTGCCTCCAACCAGAGTACACTGTGATAACGAGTCACCTGTAGCAAACTTGACTGACAGGATTCAACCTACGCCAAACAAAGGAGACTAGACACCGATGATGCTAATTACTAACTAGTATTCAGTTGAAGGGTTCAATGAATGTTTGATTTTGTAGAAATCCAGAGAGAGAGAAAAAAACTCACTGTTATAATGAATGTAATATCAATAAATGGTTATTTGCATTACTATATACTTTGGAATTAGCTTCATCTATTTATATAAAGATGAATTATACTACTTGCCTACTGAAATACCTTGTTAAAGGTGGAGTGGAGTTCGGGTGCATAAACCTTTGATAATTCAACACCATAGCTTCACACATTTAATCAAAAAACAACTCAGTTAGTATCCTATCCTATCTTATCCGAATCAACACTCCGGTATTCATTTTAAACCACTCAGTGCATTCCAAGTGGAATATGCGTGGAGTTCTCAATGTGACCACCTTTGATGTTTCAAGTAGTCATGGTGTTTAAGGATTGCGGTTTCTGTCAGCGGCATCCTAACTAACCATTCCCAATTTACCATCGGCACTGGAGCTTACTACCACCACCACCTACTAAGCAAGATTTAAAAGTATGTCGGTCGGTGGAGAACAATGGAACCCGGATCACGTGTATTGTTCCTACTGAACCACTGATGAACACACTAAACCACCACCAGATTTAATTGAATTTTAGATTTTCCCGTCGATTGATTGGACCAAAGTGCTCGGTCTCAGTTTTTTTGTGCAGATGCTTCGACGACGTCTGGGCATTTCATAAGAATTTAATTTGTGGATGGTGACTAGCAGTGGATCTAAATTTCAATTAAATAATTAATATGACCCGTTGCACAAGAGGTGGCTCTCGTGGCCCAAGTGGTCTAGTGGATAACGCGCTTTGGCGTTTGAAACTATGGTCACTCGGTTCGAGCCTCGATGGGAACATCATCACTCACTGGGAAATGCAGGTACATCCACTAGCTGACGAGTCCCAAATAGGACGAAACGCACATTCTAGATTCCATTGCTAGTCACCATCCCCACAAATTAAACCACCAGATGTTTACTTTTCATATGCCCACCTTTGAATGAAAAAGTAGCCTAACGAACAAGAAAAAGTTTGTTTTTTTCACATTTTAAGCAACTAATTACTACATCTGAGAAGTTTTCATGCATGAAAATGAATGAAAAATATTAAAAAACAGAAAAAGAAAACTGTTTGTTGTTTTTTAACTTACTCAATAACTTTTCCGTGTATAATCAAAAGGGTGCCATCGCTTAATGCAACAGAAACTAGCGGACGACGAAGGTGAACAGCTAATTGTCGAATAGCACCATGCTTTAGCCTTTTATAACAAGGAAAAATTTTTTTTAAAAACTTAAAAAACACGCATTAATTAATTAATTCTTTTAGTATAAAAAAGTAATTTACAAACAACTGTAAAAATTAAGTGTTAATACATCCTTTAATCTTTAATGTTCACCCCTTCTGTTTCGCACAACTGTCTTTCTTTCCTCTATTCTCAGCTTCTAATTGTCCGTAGACAAACCATTCCTGGTCTTGTCTCTCCTTCCTTCAGAAGACAGTCAATGGATATTGCTTTTTAAACGGTATCAAGAATGTCAAACCTCAAAGACAGTGATAACTGGAATTCATTCAAAGGTGACATTGAAGCAGAAATTCTTAGGAACTGTCTTTCTACAAAATATCTGAAGAGGACATTTCATCAAACAGCCACCTTAAGTACCACATTCTCCAGCAGACAGTTAATTCGGTCTTTAGGCGACCACAATGTGTATTTATCAGTTTACTTGTTTGTGTAGAGTAAAGTATATCGGCCTTACGCAACATCAAGTCCAAAAAACGTATTCTGGAAAATTGTCCAGCTTGGTTAGCCAGACAAAGGAGGAAAGAAGAATGCCAACAGCTCCATCCTTCAACACCTTGTCAACTCTGGACATCGAGTAGCCCGAACTGCATGAATGCTTCACAGTGCTACACATAGTCCCTAAATATTATACAAAGGGACTTCGAATACGCCACCTGTACATAGATGAATCATTGGCTACTCAGGATCTGAAACCGGACCTCTGCATTCAAAAAGCCCCACTATAAATTCATTCCCTCACACTACAGTGGCCAGAGTAACGTTCTCACTATAATTTTACTCCATTCTATTATGTAGGTTTACTATAATTATTATTATTATTATTCTCATCATCCTTATTTTACTATCAGTATATTTCTGTTTATTAATAACATTGCATTTTCACACAGATTCTATATAAAAACACTTTATCGTCTTTCCACTGGTTCCTGTCCATTCTACACAATTACAGTGATTAGTCATTATCTCACACTTGTAACATCAGGCCAACTTCTGCCTCTGTTTGTCTAATTTCCAATTAGTCATTGCCGTCTAGACTACACCTTACATTACGCAATGCATTTTTCGAGGACAAATTTTACCAGCATCTGATTGGTGGTCTTATGATTTCTTTGTTAAATATAATTACGATTGTACAGCAAGTTAAAAAAATTAACCGTCGAAAAGGAAAATTTCCTTCGCTGTTTACGTCTTTTTCTAATGACAATGATAACTGCTCGTAGTAAACAACAGTTCGTCTCCTCCTTTATGGCTGAGAGCCACTGTTATAACTGTAGCGGAATTAAATGAGGATGTTGCCGCCGTGTTCTGTCTGCGCCTGACTAATATGCCTATCTGCTTCTGGTACCTTCCGATTCAGCGAACCACGCAAATATCATAAGACAAAAGCTGGTCTGTGACTGAATGTTGTAGTACAACAACTACGACAAACTACGACAAAGAAACTTATTTAGGAAATGGTATTTATACAATTTTACAACCAATAGAGACAGCTAACAGTATTTGAAATAATTGGTCGTAATAGTCAATAACAAAGTGCCTGGGAAATGATAATATAACACATATGCGAGATTAACAGTCATTAAGATAATTGACAATATCAAAGTGTGTGAGAATTGATGATATACAACTTATACGAGATTAACAGTCGTTAAGATAATTGAACAATAACAATATGCGTGAGAAATGATAATATACAACTTATACGAGATTAACAGTCGTTAAGATAATTGAACAATAACAAAGTGTGTGGGATCCTATCAGTCACGGCCATTGAAAGTGGAAGATATGAAAAGATTAGCTATCTACCGTGTCAAGTGGTTCAATATGATAATTGATATTTGAGGTTGAGCGTGTAGGTAAGCAAGTGTCAGTCAATCGATGGATGAGGTTATGAAGCTACATCGATTGAGGACAGGCATTGCAGCACATGGTAAGCTATCGCCTTTCTCAACAACTGGAGAAGAGTAAAGAGAGATAGAGGAGTCTATGAGCCACATAGGGAGATGCCGACTGCTTATTCTGCTCCACCTCACCAACCAAATTCTAAGTGACAGAGACAATGTTAAGCGCGAAACCTATGACTTGCTTTGTTGTTAATAACATAATTTTAGGCTCTTTTATTTCTCTCTTATTTTTGTATTCTATAGTGAACACCTTCTTAAACATATTTAGCTACCTAAATTATTAACATTGGCTTCCTTTTTTGTACTTTACTGTATTCCTTCTTTTGTGTATCTACTGGTTCCGACTATATTAGCACTATGAGTATTACAAAATTGTCCTGTCATTAACCATCATGTAATTATTAGTTTTTGTGGTTGCTGTTTTATTTAGTTCGGCAATATTAACTGATAATCTTGGTTGTGAACGCCAATATCACCATCTTAAAAAAATTTTGTATTATGCAGGATTACTCACACTACCACCACAAACACTGCATTAGAGCTGTCAATAAAAAAACCTGAAATGTTATTTTATGATTGTTTAGAGTTGTTTCAACCAAATCAACTGATCATCTTGGCGATAAACATTCTTAAATATCATTTCATAACTTCTTGTATGATTACAGCTTTACTGTCACCACGCATAAACATATCATAGTTTCCACTACCCAATACTGAAATATTATTTATTATGTTGTTTATTTTCCTTTCTACTTCTTGGTATTTTTTTCGCATTTTTTGTTATTTTTTTGTTTTTGTAGTTGTTGCCTTTATTTATTTATTTTTTTGAAATACTCCTTTTAAATGTTTGATAAAATTAGATGCAAATATTGCAGATATGTGCTGAAAATTCTACACTGTACCACTAGTACTGTTTTTGGAATAAAGGAAAAAATTATTATTAAAAAAAAGAACTCTAAGAGCAAATGGTTTGAGATTGTTGGTGGTGAAATAGGTCAAAACTGTTCACGCTGGTGTAGATGCATTTACCCTTTGGAATCTACCAGAATCATGAAATCATCATGTGTTTCGCCGTTACTATTCTCTCCACTGTATATTTCTGCTCACTATAATTCCTTCAAATTCACTTTTTTTCTCTCTCTCTCTCCTAGTCTCTTCTCTACCTTTCTGTGCTACATGGAGTATGGAAACTTGAACTGCTGGTGCATTTCTGTAGGAATTTCTCTGGTGAAAAAAACTCAGTTAGTCAATATATCGAATTTTTATTATTATTAATATTCCCTTTGACTCTGGGTAGAACATAAGGCTTAAACACCACATCTCCACTGTATCCTATTTTTTGCTGCCCTCTTCATCAGCTCGACCCACGATTGCCTATTATCTCCTTCTCGCAAGGTTTTCTCCATGTCACCCTTGGACACCCGCAAAACTCGTCGCTTCTCATTCAGGTTCCACTTGAGCGGTGGCCTGCATTCAGGCGGTCTCCTCAGCGTATACCTCCAAAGCCTCAGGATGGTCGGGGGTGGGTGCCTTGCGCTGCGGGTTGGCCACCCCTCCGCACACCTCTTCAAATGCTCCCATATGACCGGGCGTCTTACATAGCCTCTCCTCAGGAAGTCATACTCACTGCCTTCACGTGGCGGAGGTGTTTTTCACCAAAGTGAGAGGGCGAAAGCGGATGCCCGGCGCTCTTCACCGGGTTGACTGCCCATTGGGTGACAGTCTAGAGGAGATGGCTAAACCCTGATTCCAAACCTCCAACGACTGGCGTATGAAGCTCACTGGAGCTCACCGGAAGACGTATGGACAAAGGGCTTGTTGGATGTCCTGGATGTCTGGCCCCATTCAAAAAGGCGTATGAACCGAACTCCGGTCACCGGCTGACAATGGATAGTGGACTCCCTACTCCACTCCTACTGCCTTATAGGTCACACTTGGTTGTGTAAAGGCTAGAGCTGCACTGTCAAACAAAAGGCCGAGCGATTCTGGGGACATCACTCGTACCGAATTCCCATGAAACTTCATGAACTCTTGGGGCTACAAACCGTCTACGGACTCCGTCTGTGGAACAAGAATTGGATAACCCTGTCGCAAAACCTTGCATCAGGTCGCCGCGCCTGGGAAGCGATGATTCGAGATGTTCATGAAGCCGGCTCATCATTTCGTAGGAGATAGCCGAAGTAAAGTAAAAGTAAGTAAGTATAACCGATCAATCCATCTCCACTTTCTCCTACACATATTTTTTGAACAATAAGTTCTTGGTTAGTTTTTATTTCCAAGGGTTTTGTTTTGCTAATCCTCCTTTCTACTCGGCTGGTCATTTGAACTTGCATACGCAGCTAGTAAAAAGGTAGTTTCTTCAGCAAGTTTTTTTTGATTTTCACCTGCAAGTCTTCTTCAAGTTTGTGTGACATTAAACGTAAATTATCCAGGCGCGAAATCCAAATCTTCGTCTAGCTAGCAAGCATTACTGCCTGACACATGAGTGACTTCCTATTACACACGTATTATGCATTAAAATAATATTACCATGCATTTAAGCCAATTAACATTCACACTGTCATTATCTCCAACAATTGTCAGTCTTCTGAAGGGCTAATAGTGTGGCGCATGCTACTGAGAAGATTTATCAGTAGTCTATATCTAGGGAGAGAGAAACCTTCATCGGCACAGGGAGATACATTTCATGTCAGAGAAAGACAGCAAATGATTCAGTTGCAAAGATACATCGGAGACGTGAAAAAAAAGGAATGAAACAAGAGTAGCAAGCACAACATGGAAGATCTCTGCAAATGGTGATTTCAAGATAAGATGTACACATAATTTCGAGATATAGCAATACGAAATCCCAAATAGACATTCCTTTATCAAATCTCTTCTCTTCTACTTTTACAGTAGTACACAGTGAAATAAAATATTCACACGATAACGATGTTGATGATGTACAGGGTTAATGAATAACAAAATAATAACAGAAATCTTCCATGAGAGTTAATTAAAACACAAAAGACTGACAAAAGCAACACACACACACACAAATTAATAATGAGTCAGAATGTGGATGAGTATGAATAAACATATAAGTGAGTCCGTTCAACAGATCCTCTGAAACATAAATCAACTCCACAGTCATCTACAGAGTAAGCAGGAATCTTATCAAAGGAGTTCGACTCAAATCTCTTCAAATGACTAAAGCTATGGTAATCGGCATGAACTGTGCATACAGAACCTACAATAGACCAAATTTACCTGGACATGTGATAGGTTTTGTTTTTATTCTTATACGTTCCCAGTGGAACATACGGTCGTAAGTTAGAGCTTTCAGTTTTCAGCATGATAGGACCCAGCATAAAATAAATAGTATATCATCCTTTCTCACAAATCGTGTGATTTATCTTGTGATAGAGTTACTATGTGAATGTATCATTTCTGACGCGTATTGTGGTTTAATGTGTGAGATCAATTCATCGTCTTTTGTCTCACCTTGATCTTTGTCGGATCATCAACCAATCAGGATAGACATATCCAGACAATAAGAACAATCCATTCTCACGGTTGTGAGCCAACTGTATTATTGTTGTGATAAATCAAATTATATGAATAGGATGTTTTGTTTCCTAATAGATGTACAATATATTATCTTACTGTCACAGGCCAGTCTTTGTCTTTTGATATTTGCATGGCTCGTTGAATCGGATGGACAAATAGACGTATTAGCGTACCAGTCGAGTTCACTACCACAGACATAACAAAGTAGTCTGTCTGGATTCAACATAGAACTTCGCACCGAGGTGCAGCAGTTCGAGTTGCCACGTTCCAAATAGCACACAAAGGTAGACAAGAAAATGAGTGAAGAGAATCAATAGAGTTTTGATAAGTATAAGAGTGGAACAGAATGAGTAATAGTAGAAAGGAATATGAGACTGAAGATTACAGAGACTGAATACATCTGCGTAAGCCATTGACAGCGATTTTGAGCCATGTCACCTATTGTCTCCAGCCATTGATTCTTAGAGTCCCGAGGGCAGGCCCCAACCAGGAAGTCTGCATCTCCCTACCTGACTCAGTTTAACTGTCAAGGATTTCATGGATTGATGAGGCCACGTTTTTGTTTGGCCACTACTTACAAAGTAGAGACGGAATTTATTCAGTTTATTTCAGTTATAACAAATTGGAGACGAGTCAGTTCAGTTATAACACAGTAGCAGTGGTGTTTATTTTTATCGGTTGAAGTTGCGCTAGTCTCATGCCCAAACTTTCTTCTTTACCGGTTGTGGACTTATCATCGACAGGGAATCGAATCCTGGATCACGTGAGGTGTGGTTAGCCAGCCATTGCACTGTCAAGCCACTGACGCTTAGATTAAAACTGTAGTCAAGATATTCGTTATCTGTTTTCCTGTAGATAATACGCATCCACCTTTAAAAGGTTAATTTATCAATGAATTTAGTCCATAATAATAATAATAATAATAATAATAGTAATCGGTCGTTCGGTTTTCGACATAGAACTTTGCACATATGTGCGGCAGTTCAAGTCGCCACAATCCATGTAGCACGCAAAGCAAGAGAAGAAAGTAGAAGAACTGCATAATATAGACAGTAAACAGAGGTGTGAGACAAAGGAATAGTAATAACGGAGAACAAAACAGTTTCATTGGAAATCATAAGTCACAAGGAGTGGATGCATCTGCGCCACTGAGAACGATTTTGAGCCATGTCACCAATTGTTTCCAACCATTGGTTTTTACCATCCCGAGGACCCCAACCAGGAAGTCTACATCTTCCTACGTGGCTTAGACTAACTGTTGTGGATTTCATTAATAATAATGATAATAATACTAATAATATTAATAACAATAATAATAGTAATAATAATAAAATTTTTGTTCAATAACTTACTGAAGCTTTTTGAACGGTACATTACCCAATTCAATATCGAACCAATTGAAACGACTATCGTATGTGCCAACAACTAAATGTTCACCTGTACAATTCAAAGAACACATATTGAAACCAATATTAAACATTAACTACGAAAAACGAAAGAAAAAATAACACAGAATACACTGATTCTGATCGCAAGAAACTGTAGTCATACAATATTTATGCCATTCTTCTATTCCTGTTAATACAAGCATATATTCCCATGGTGTAGACTTCCTGGTTGAGGTCCTCGGGACGGTAAAAACCAATGACGGCTGGAGACAATTGGTAATATGGCTTGAAATCCTAGTTCTTAATGGCTGGCGCAGATGCATCCACTCCTAGTGAATTATAAGATCCAATACAACTATATTGTTCTTCGATTTTGCTGTTCTTTTTGCCTCAAACATTTGATAGGGGCGAAACGCATGTCAAACATTCGAAAATTTCTGCTCCTCAAGGTGTTTAGATGACTCTGCGCTATTTTGTCAGCGTCTTCACCTAGAAAGAATATATCGTCCTCATTTTCTAAGTAACAAGTCAATCCCGGAGTCGCTCCAGTCCGTTTCAGTTGGAATAAAGTTATTATTATTAATAGTAGTAGTAGTACACCTATGATAACATTAAACAGAAATGGGGACAGTGAGTTGGTATCCCCGACGCAGCTGGCGGCCACATGAGTTCAAGTACAGAGCCATGATCAGTGCGATGTATTTTCTCAACATTCCCTTTACACAGCCAAACATCGCCATAGTATTTCACGGTAGACGGAATTGAATGCCGCTTTCAGGTAGGTCAAGACATATGACGATTTTTGGCCGCCGATGGTATGTATGCGCCTATGTTCCAGAATCTGTCGAAGGGTGAAGATATGAACACAATACAACCACTTCCTGGTCTAAAGTCTGCCTGGTTCTTTCGTGTTTGTTTCTCCCAAAGCACCACTTAGTCTACGCGCATGATTATTGAGCTTGGAACTTTCCTACTAGGCTATAGTGAAAGAAAAATGATTGATTCCTTTTCTTTATAGTTCATTAAACCATTAGGTGATGATGAACGGTTGATGGTAACGTGCTGTTCTGAATAAATATTCAAGATTATGCCGTGAGGACCGTTTGTCCTTGACTTGTCAATGGGAAATCGTATTTGGTATGTTTGATTCATGCCGACAGAGTTTTCATCTTATCTTGTTGGGAATATTTTTATTTAACTCCCAGGTATTTCTTAGAGCTGAAGTCAATTGCATGATGGTGACTAGCAGTGTAATACAGGAAGCGCATTTCGTCCTATTTGGGACTCGTCATCTGGATGTGCTTAGTGGGCACTAGGTTTTGAAGCCTCAGTGGTGGGAACACCATCACTCACTGACAAAGAAATGCAGATACATTCAGATGATGAGTCCCAATGCGCGTTGTCCTGAATTCCACTGCTAGTCACCATCAACCAATTGACTTTAAGTTACATGACCAGACATCGTCGAAGCATCAGCACAAGAAGCCGACATTTCAGCCTGAGACCGGGCACTTCGGTCGAATCAATCGGCGGGAAAATCTAAAATTCAATTCAATAATTAATAAGATCCATTGCACAAGAAGTAGGTGGCTGTCGTAGCCCAAGTGGTCTAGTGAATAACGCTTTAGTGTTAGAAACAATGGGTACTGGGTTCGAGCCTCAGTGATAGTGCCCCCATTACTCACTGACTGGGGAATGCAGATACATCTAGATGACGAATCCCGATGCTCGTTGTCCTGGATTCCAATGAGGTTAGCCATCATCCACCAATTGGCTTCAAAGTGAAAATGTGTTGTTGAAGCCCACTGGGAACCCAAGGGAACAATAATAATTAATCATAATAATAATAATCGAAAAATTAAAAAAATAAGAAAAAAAATTAATTACCCGATGGATGTAATGCCATTGAACTAACAAAATTTGATGAACTTTCTAAACGTAAACAACGTAACTCTTTTTGTTCAACCAAATCATAAACACGTACTGCTCTTGCACTGGCGATAAATAAATGTGGTTTACCAGTTGGATGAAAAGCTGCTTGTTTCCATTCAACAGGTCGACCAGTATCAGCAAATGGTGTTTGACTAGACATTTTAGACAAACGATGCAGTAGTAAGCGTTTAGCTGACCGTGAACGAACAAGTGAAGAAAGTATTGGACGTGAAAGAGTAAGGAGATAATCACCTTTGGGATGCCAATCCAAGCTGACTATTGGCTGTTTGTGTGTGTGGGGGGGGGTGAAAAGAAGAGAAGAGAACAATATTCATATAAATAGTATTAAAAGTTTTGTCGTTATATGGCAAAAACAACAAATGTAAAATGTTGAAGATAATTCACGTTTTCTTTCATTTTGAGAGAGAGAAAAAAACATTTATAACAACTTAAACTCACCGTCGTCAAAAGCAGATATACATGCATCGCAAAGTGCCGGAGGTTTGTGTTCAAAAGTAACCAGTTGCACTTCTAGATTTACCATGAACTTAACTTTTCAGCATGTGATATCGGCAGCCCGAATTTTGCAGGCCGACCATTGATATCGGGGTGTATGTCGGTCGGGAATCGAACCCCGCAGTATGTGCATGGTCGGCGAGCATACTAACCGCTGTGCCACCGACAACGCTTTTCTTACATTCCCTTCATTTTTTGTTATTGAGATTTTCAGTCATAAAAACTTTTTTCTCAATTTTTTGATATTATTATTATTGTTTCCATTAGTTCCTAGAGGGACATAGGGCTTCAGCCAAATGTCTCCATGGCGTTCGGTTCTCCACCAACCTTTTCATCACCTGGCTTCACGTCTGCCCACATGCTTTCATCTCCTCTTCACATCACCTCCTCCTGCATGTCACTCCCCTCCCAATGATGACCGACTCGCCTCTTCCCATTCGCCTTCTACTCAAGTGATGGCCTGTCGTGTCGTGTCAGTTTATGGTGGTTTGTTTTCTCAGAGTATGGCCAGCCAATCCCCCTCCATTTCTTGCATAATCGGTTCCTGCTGGTTTGGTTCGTTCCCAGAGATCCCTCACTATTGCTGATCTTTTTTGACCACCATCTGATCTTAAGTATTGAGTGAAGACAGCTGTTAATGAAAGTCTGTAGTTTGTTCGAAGTGCCATTCGTGACGCGGAGCGGCGCGGCGCGGCGCCAAGTCTCTGATTCGTATAGTGATTAGCACTGACTTGACATTGCAGTTGAAAATCTTGAGTAGTGCTGTTAATCTCTACACAGACTTGAGAGTGATAAAAGCTTGCATTGAGCTAGATGATATGCTCATCCCATTTACATCTGCATTCATTTATTTACGAAAAAACCGATTTTATATACAACGCAACTATTTTCTAATCCTTTGTCATCTTATCTCTAACTCCTTTGTAATCTATATTCACACCTTCAAGTTGAAAGTCATTATCACCTTTAATCACCTTGGTTACTGTGTCGAATTAAATAATAATTGTATCTCTGTAATGTTACGTATATAAACGCGAATGAAATCGCCGAAAAGTGTTGGTTTGCAGAGAATTTGATTCGATTGATTTCAGGATTTCATCATTGACTAACATCATCGGTAAGAGAACCATTGGAAAACACAACACTGGAGTACTGAACAGCTATTCCATAAGCTTAGTTTGGTACTCTTCATCAGTACGCATCCACCGCAAGGATTCGAACCCAGAACCGTCTGGTTACAAGGCGAGTGAGCTCGTAAACCTTTAAGTCACTCACTGGAATCCCGACTTAATCTAATGGTCAGGCCATGAATTCCGAATTCTGCCAATTCACCGTATGGTGCGACAACTAACGAATGTCATCGGTGAGTATTTGTCCTCACACCCGACCTACTGTACCCCACTGGTCACGACTTCTCACTAGAATCCACTTAACTTTCAATGGTTCTCTAACCGATATCAGTTCCGGATGAAATCGTGAACGATATATGTTTGCTGAACTTCTTGTTCTTTTCGCTCTTTAATGTCCTGATAATGGGTATTTTCCACGATTTGAAGGGGAAAAAACAAATAAATTATGCCGTCTAACAATGTCGTCTTGGCTTGTACCTATGAGGAGATTAGAGTTTACCTGATTGATTTAAGAACATAGCACTTGAAACTAAAGGATGAAAACAACGAACACGGTTATATCAACTTTAGACTGATAATGCTAACTAGTAACAAAACATCCGCATACGTTGAATTATGTCTCATTGTATAGTACCGGAAAAGAAGACCTGTACTGCGGTATGTTATTATTATTATCATCTTGAGTTCCCAGTAGAACATAAGACTTCAATACCGCATGTCCATTTTGTCCGGTTCTTTGAAGTTCCCTTTAGCTGCCTCCATGACTACCTAGAAGATTTCATCTCCACCGTGTCCCCCTCGAAACCACACCCAATTCGTAGTTTCTCATTCGGGTTCCACTCAAAGGATAGTCCAGCACGCCATGTCATTCAACAGTCTCTTTAGCCTGTGTCCGATCCATCTACATTTTCTTCGACATATTTCTTGACCAATAGGTTCTTGGTGTCGGTTCGTTTCAGGAGTTTCTTGTTGCGAATTCTTTTCGGTTGTCCATTTAGTCTTCGGTATAGAGACAGTGAAGGAAGCTGTTGATAAAATAAACTTCAGCAGCCTGCTGTTGACGACAGTACACAGCAGCCTGTTGGAAGTGCTTTTCGTGATGCACCCGCCAAATTTCTGACGCATATAGAAGGACTGACTGACTTAACATTGGTTGTTAAAAATCTAAATGTTGTTCCTTATGCCGAGTGCAGAATATTTCCAAACTGATATCAGGGTGATTGAGGTTTGTCTTGCCTATCCTATTCTGACTGGTTTTGACATCTTCATCCGTATCTCCTGTAGTTAAGTGGAATGTAAGGCTTCAGCAGAACACCTCCATTTTTTTTCTGTTCCCTGTGTAGTCCTCTTTAGTTGGCTCAACGATTGCCTATAATCTCCTATCTGCTCCTCCTCCGCCTCCTCCTCGCACGATCCTCTCCATGTCACCTTCAGAACCTCATCAAACTCCTCGTTTCCCGTTTGGGTTCCATTCGAGTGATGGCCAGCATTGAGCGCTACATCATTCGATGGGCTCCTCAGTGAAGTGTGTCCAATCCATCTCCATCTTCTCCTACATATGTGTTGAGCAATCCGCTCTTCGTTAGTTTGTTGGCAGCCAGAATTTCTTGTTGCTAATCCTCCTTTCTGATCAGCCAGCAATTTGATCTTCAATATTGAGTCAGAAAAGGCAACTGGCTGTTGGAAATGATTTTGGAAAAGGCGAAAAAAGCTGTTCTGACATTTTTATAGCCTATACTATATTAGATAAGTCGTCAATTTGATAAAACACACACACTTATACAACATTAATAATAGTTATTAATACTGTTATTGATACACTAACTTCGCATTGCTGTTGAAAATCCGAATCTTGTTCCTTATGCTGAGCGCGGAAGATTTCCGAACTGGTTTCATGTTGATGAAGGCGTATCTTACCTTTCCGATTCTGACTTTGACATCTTCGTCCATGCCATCCGCCTGTGGTTGAAACGATGCTTGCCAGATAAGTAAAGGAGGCAACCTTTGTTAAATCTCTGCCGTTGGTGGTGATTGGTGTTGGTCGTTGTTGCTGTTGATTGGTTATCTCTACCACCTCCGTTTTTGTGTTCACCTGCAGTCCTGTCTTCGCTGCCTGCCTCTTCAGCTAGTTTGTTGGTTTTCCCTTGCAAGCCTTCGAGTTTGTGTGACATTAGACATATATCATCCACACACGAAATCCAGATCTTCTAGAGTCTTCCTATCGGTCGTCCAGCGTATTCCTGATTCTTCGACCCCAACAGTCTGACGCATAATCCAGTCCACCACAACTAAGAATAGCATCGGTGATAATAGGCAGTCAGACTTGTCTCACTCCTGTATGCACTTCGAACGCCTCACTGAGTTTTCCGCTGTGAATCACTTAACACGTGGTATTGTCATATATCTGTTGAATGAGGTTGACAAAGACTTCGGCACTGCACGCCAAGTGTTTCCAAATTACTTCGTGATCAACACTGTCTGTCGAAGCCTTTGCCTTTTCAAAGTCGATGAAGTTAAGGTAGAGGTTTGACTACCATTCATTCTATGCTTTGTACTGTGATAACGATGCATAGAGTTACAATTGGATGAGTACATGATCTGCCTTTCCTGAATTCAGCTTGTTCCGGCGAGTGGCGGAGTTCTGTATCCAGTGCATCCTGTATTCTCTCCAGGATGATGCGACTTAGTATTTTACTTGGCGTTGATAAGAGCATAACTCCACGCCAGTTCTTGCACAGGACTAAATCACCCTTCTTTGACAGTTTGACGATGTAACCCTTCTTCCAATTAGTAGGCACCTTTCCTGCAGACCACTATAATTGATACTGTATGACCAAAAGTGAATAGTCCCCAGTCTTCCGCTCAAAGTGTCTTCTTCTTATGTCTGTCTACGCATCCAGATAACGCCTATCCACTGAATTCTAACGATAAGACGATTCTATTATATAAGAGAGAATGTTCAGCTCTGTCATTGCCAGGAGGATAAAGGACATAATATTCCACCGAGGAAAGTTGGAATACCTTATAGTTCACATGGACTCGAGAAGATAGAAGAGGTGTATAACTAGGGCAGGACTTAATTACTCAGAATAGATATTCCATGTATATATCAGGCTAGAATTAGAACTTCTACTCAAATGCCTATCTGAAAGGCTAATTGCTTAAGCCAATGATCAGCCATGTCTTCACAATACTGATAATGACTAGTGGACTAATATGCGAGCTGTTTAACACAAAATTTACCTGGAAACAGTAAAAACAGATGTTTAATAATAATAATAATAATAAAGATTAAAAATTAGACTTACATCAGCCACAGTGATAATGATTCGATGACGTTCAAGTGTTTTAGATTTAGCTGTTTTGTCAACATTCTGAGGTGGTATTTTAATTGTCCATTTCGCCTTGGATTTCACTTCAAATTCTGCTTCTTTCTCCTCCTCTTCTTCTTCGTCTGGATCAATTTCCATGTTGTTATTATTATCACCATCATCTAATCGAGATCGTTTTGTTGATGGTGGTGCATCTTTGTCAGCCTGTTCATTAGTTTAAAATTAATAAAGAATTTGGTATAATCATTTATGGTATTTGATAGATAGCATGTATAAATAATAATAATAAGTGTATGACAATTTAACAGAACTCTTTGTGTACAATAGACTATTTGAGAGCTGTGTAAGCTCATTGGTTTAGGCTATCAACTCTTAATTTTTTATTATTTTTTTATTTATTTTATTTTGCTTACAGCTTGATTCCACACTGTATTTTCAGTACAAGTATGGAATTTTCAGCATGGATATAGGTAGCCCAAATTTTGCAGGTCGACCATAGATATCGAGTGTGCGTCGGCAGGGGATCGAACCCCGGACCATGTGCATGGTCGGCGATAGTCCTAACCATTGTGCCACCAACGCACAATAATATCATGAGTTTGAAATCGCCACTTCACCTCGCAAAGTTTAGGTATTATATCATTAGCCGTCACACAATAGTTGTGTCACATTCCCGACTGCATAGAATCACAAGTGAGTGTTGAGTAATTTAGTAATAAATTGAACTTCCAGCTTTTGTCTGTCTGTCTGTTTTAAACATAGAACTTTCCACCAATGTGCGGCAGTTCAAGTCGCTACACACCAGTCTTGTAACACACAAAGCAAGCGAAAAAAAGTAAAAGAAATGCATAATACAGACAGTAGACAGAGATATGAGGCAAAACGAATACTAATATTGAAGAACAATATAGTTTCATTGGAAATTATAAGTCAAAAGGAGTGGATGCATCTGCGCCAGCCATTGAGAACGAGGATGTTGAGCCATTGTTTCCAGTCTCCATTGATTATTACCTTCCAGAGGACCCCAATCAGTCAGCCATACAGTCTATACCTCCCTATGTGACTAGTTGACTGGTTTAAACTCACTGACAAAGATTTCATCTACCGATGAGGCTATGTTTTGGTTTGACCATCACTAGCTCTTTTCCAACTTGATATTATGTCAGCTAACATTGCCGATCAAAGAAGGCGATGGCTATGAATACGTCACACATGCCTCCAAAGCCTCAGGATGGTCGGGGGTGGGTGCCTTGCACTGCGGGTTGGCCAACCCTCCGCACACCTCTTGAAATGCTCCCATATGACCGGGCGTCTTACATAGCCTCTCCTGAGGAAGTCCCACTCACTGCCTTCACGTGGCGGTGTTTTTTTTCCACCAAAGTGAGAGGGCGAAAGCGGGTGCCCGGCGCTCTTCACCGGGTTGACTGTCCATTGGATGACAGTCTAGGGGAGATGGCTAAACCCTGATTCCAAACCTCCAACAACTGGCGTATGAAGCTCACTGGAGCTCACCGGTAGACGTATGGACAAAGGGCTTGTTGGATGTCCTGGATGTCTGGCCCCATTCAAAAAGGTGTATGAACCGAACTCCGGTCACCGGCTTCCAATGGATAGTGGACTCCCTACTCCACTCTTACTGCCTTGTAGGTCACACTTGGTTGTGTAAAGGCTAGAGCTGCACTCTCAAACAAAAGGCCGAGCGATTCTGGGGACATCACTCGTACCAAATTCCCATGAAACTTTATGAACTCTTGGGGCTACAAACCGTCTACGGACTCCGTCTGTGGAACAAGAATTGGATAACCCTGTCGCAAAACCTTGCATCAGATCGCCGCGCCTGGGCAGCGATGATTCGAGATGTTCATGAAGCCGGCTCATCCTCCCGTAGGAGATAGCCGAAGTAAAGTAAAGTAAAGTAACCATCTCAGTTGATGCAACTTCACAGCCTCATCTATGGATTTCCCCTCCTTACCTAGCACTCAACCGAAGCCTAACCTCAATATTGATCACACTATTATACCGATCCCACCTAACACGGGAGATAGAACGCAAGCACCTATGATCAAAGACAGCTAGCCAGCCAGCCTTTTCATGTCTTCCACTCTCAATGACCATAACTCACAGCCACAAAGGAGGACGGAGCCGACTGCTGAGCAGTACACACGCCCTTTGGTCGACAGGCAACCGGATATCACGTCTACTTAGCGAGAGAAGACATGAACTGGCATATGCGAAACGAGTTTTCTGTATCTGTGCTGAGATTTCGTCAGTGATCAGCTACCCGTTGGGGCTGGTTGATACAACTTCCCAAATAAGTGAAGTGATCAACACGCTAGGTCACCACTTCACTCCTTATTTCTAAGCTACGAGCCAGTGTAGTCCAATCCTGTAACATCATCTTACTGGTGTCCAACTAAAGTAACCAAGAATATATACGTTATCAAATATGTAAAAGGAAATGGATTGAAACACATTGGGGAGACTGTTGAGACTGACTGACTGACTAACTGGTTTCAACGTAGAACTTTGCACCGATGTGCAGCAGTTCGAGTCACCACACTCCCTCTTTGTAGAACACAAAGCAGGAGGAGAAAGTAAAAAGAAACGCAAAATAGTAACAGTAAACAGAGATATGAGGCAAAAAGAATACTTATATCGACTAATAATGATATAGCTTTGTTGGATATTATAAGTCACAAGGAGTGGATGCATCTGCGCCAGCCATTGACAACGAGGATTTTGAGCCATATCACCGATTGTCTCCAGCCGTCATTGGTTCTTACCATCCTGAGGATCCAAACCAGCTAGTCAGCCAGTTTACACCTCCCCACGTGGCTGGTTAACTGACTTAAACTAATTGTTGTGGATTTCATTGACTGATGAGGTCATGTTTTGGTTTGACCACCACCACTAACAGTTCTTTTCCAATCTGATCCCATATCATTGCCCGCTGCCGAGGAAGGCGATCGATGGCTAGGAATGCATGAGTAACAGATGTTCTAGCCATCTCAGTCGGTCCAACTTCACAACCTCATCGACTGATTTCCCTTCCTTATCTGGCACTCGACCGAAGACTAACCTCAATATTGATTACACTATTATACCGACCACCTAACACGCAGGTACCTATGATCAAAGACAGTTAGCCAGTCACGCTTTTCATATCTCCTACTCTCAATGGCCAGGTGGTCTCAGACTGTTGAGTGATATCATGAACCATTGAAGCCATTAAGTGATATCCGAATGAGAGAACAACGACTTCGAGGCGTGGATGATTCGACTCGGTAACACATGAAAGAGATCGTTTGAGGTGGAAATGAGAACACTAATGGACAAGTGTGGAGCTAACTCCACAGTTAAAAAGGACTACAGAGAATAGGAAAACAAAAATGTTCCAATGGGAACCCAAGAGGATAATTAATGTTATAAAATCTGCATTGAAATTCATCAAAATTCCTACAAAATATTAAAGAAAAGGAAAAAAATTACATGGAGGTAAGGGGAGGGGAGGTGGGGAGGAAATAATACTCTTACCACATCTTCATTATTATTATTATTATCTTTTAACACAGATATATTTTCAATATTTTCATTCATATCTGACCACCATTGTAAGAGACTGGCTTCAGTGTGTGACACACGAACACGATCACCCAAGGCTGGATTAATGATGAATAACTGAGTCCCACTGAGAGAGAAGAAATAAACAAACCACACAACAGAAAGACCCAAAGTGAATACAGAAGAAATAACGCATTAGTTTCGAATAATATATCTATCAACTTTATAATAAGAACATATAAGGATAAACCAGATATATACTGTAAGCTTACAGTGAAGCTTCCCTGCCAGTATTTTTGGAATATCATGTGTTTAAAATTTCTACATTCTCTTAATCAAATTGGTCTCCGTAATTGTTTACATACATCGCTTCAGCATTTGAAAAATGTTTTGTTCGAATATATGCAAGGACGTGAAACTCAAGTGAGTGAAATTATTATTATTATTATTGTTTCCTTTAATTCCTAGAGGAACATAGGGCTTCAGCCACAAGTCTCCATTGCGTTCCGTTCTCTGCTAGAGTCTTCACCTGGCTCCATGTCTGCCCACACGCCTTCATCTCCTCTTCACATCACCTCCTCCAAGTCACCCTTGCACTGACGACCAACTCGCCGCTTCCCTATCGGGTTCCACTCGAGCAATGGCTTGTGTAGTGATGTCACTTGATGCATTGTTTCCTCAATATATGGCCAGCCAATCCATCTCCATTTCTTCCTGTCTATTTGTTGCACAATCGGTTCCTGTTCGGTTGGTTCGCTCCCAGAGATCCCTCCCTGTTTCAGATCTTTTCTGGCCGGCCATCTGATCTTGAGTATTGAGCGACGACAGGCTGTTAATGAAGGTCTGTAGTTTGTTTGAGATGCTCTTTATGACGCGCTGGCCAAGTCTCTGATCCGTGTAGTGAGTAGCACTGACTGACTTCACATTGGAGTTGGAAATTCGGATCTTATTTTTGATGCTGAGTGCTGTTGACCTCCACACAGACTTGAGAGTAGTGAAAGCTTGTCTTGCTTTTCCGATTCTTGCTTTGATATCCTCGTCAGTTCCGTATGCCTGTAGTTGAAACGATGCTTCCCAGGTAGGTGGTAAAGGAGGTTGTTTCTTTCAGGTTCCTTCCATTTATGCTGATTGTTGTTGTTGCTGTTGGTAGTGTTGCCCAGGAATCTTCATCACCTCTGTTTTCTCTATGTTCACCTGAAGTCCTATCTTTGATGCTTCTTCTGCCAACTTGTTGCTTTTCGCTTGCATATCTTCCAGTTTGTGGGAAATCAGACATATATCATCGGCGAAGTCCAGATCCTCCAAGTTGGTTTTTTGTGTGAGTCCATTTTATGCCTGTTTCCTCATTGCCCGGCTCGCTGTTTGTCGCATTATCCAATCTACTGCAATCAGGAAAATCATTGGCGATAGTAGGCAGCCAGCTTGTCTTACTCCTGTCCTCACTTCGAAGGATTCCGTAAGTTTCCTATTTGTGGATTACTTGGCATGCAGCATTGTCGTACAGCTGTTGGATGAGATGCATAGTTGTCGGTGGCACCCCGTAGTAGCATTAATTTTTTTTCTGTTGCATCTTTTGGTTTGCACAATATCCAATGAAGTGATCGTTTTGACTGGCTGGCTGGCTGGCTTGTGTGCTATATCTATTTCAAACGGTCTCATTATTCTAGCCATTCTTTCACTGATATTTTTTTTACACATGGTGGAGTGAATTTTCTTGTGTGGTCTTTGAAGATGGTTTCTTGTTGGTATTACGACTTGAGTTCAAACACTGTTTTTTTTGGGGAAATTGTGTCGGTATTCATTCTTCTTTCTGAAGACGGTTAGTAGGTATTTTTCCTCCATTCTATTCAACACTGGGAGTGCTACAGTGTGTGTTTGAACTCCTTTTTAAACAATGCCTGTACACAGTTTTTTTTTGTGGATAATCGGGTTATTACTACTACTTTGGCTGCGTATTTGGTCTATGTGCGTTGATTTTCTGCATACTTGTATTTCTAAATTTCCTGTGTTAGTTCTCTTCATTAAGAATGGAATTTTGTTGTTTAATTCTTCTTCTCTTATGTGGTTAATTTTTGATCTCTTCAAATATGTTGTTTATTAATTTGTGGGTGTATTGCAAATTAGATTTCTTTTAATTATTACGAGTGTATCATCGACAAATAACGCGTACGCATAATTTTGGTTTCATTATAATAAAATATATGAGTACTACTCTATTATTATTATTATTATTTAATTCCTTTGCATTTCAAATGGAACATGGGGCTTTTAGCTTGAGCTTTTAAATTTCAGTAGCAATGGTGTTCGTTTTTACTGTGGGTGGGGTTTGTTAGTCTCACAATCGACCTTCCTTCTTTACCGGGAATACTACTGGCTAAACGAGGTTTCAGAGTGCGTTGGCGCGTGTTCGAGTCCCGGATGACGTGAGGCTTGGTTGGCGAGTATTCTACCTACTGAACCAACGATATATATATATATGCGTTTTTTATTCCTTTACGTTACCATTAGAAAATAGAACTTCAGGCGAGAGGCTTGAAGTTTCCGTAGCAGTTGCATACATTTTTTACGGGATAGGGGGTTGCTAGACTTATGCGTCGGTGGCATAGCGGTTAGGACGCTCACTGACCATGCACATGGTCCGGGGTTTGATCCCCGGCCCGACTCCTTTACCTTGCTAAGCCAGAAATAATGCTGGTCAAGAGGAGAAGTTGGGAATGAGGCTAGCAACCCCATCCTGTAAAATAAGCACTGCTACAGAAACTTCAAGCCACTAGCTTGAAGACCTATGTTCCACTGGGGAACGTGAAGGAAAAAAAAGACTTATGCCGAACCTTCCCTCTTTACAGGTCTTATTACTGGCTTAACGAGGTAAAGGAGTGCGCCGGCCGGAGATCGAACTCCGTACCACTTGCGTGGTTGACGAGCAATCTACCGCTGTGCCACCGACGCACTATGTACATATATATAAATATATATATATATATACATGAAATACTAATACTGGTATAATAAGCCCTTAGTTCAACCTGTCACTAATGAACACAAATGGAAACAGAGAAAAGATAAAGATGACGTCTAGAATGATATCTTGTGTTTGTCTTAATGTGTAGGTAAGTAGAAGTGTGGTTGATTGGCCTAATTAATGAAATTTTCAACCAATTGGGTCTTGACTTTGAATCCTGCTCCAATTACTCCACCCTCCAGCCTGGTAAACTGAGTAGAATCATCAGTTCACGCTAAATATGTATGGCTAATGTTCTTTGAACTCAGTTACAGGAACAGGTGTTTCCTGCTCTAGGCTATGAGTCATACAGTTATTATGTGAGAGTTGATTAAACTACCCAGGTGTCCAAGATGATGTAGTTGAAGCAGGATTCAAATCCATGACCCACTAGTTAATAGTTGAGTGCCTGAGTCAATGAGCCAGATCTTCTTATAATCTAGTAGATGAGACCTCTATTCCAGGTGAGTTTGAACAACATACATGGGTGAGAGAACTGAAGCGATGTGTGTGAGAGGAAGAGGGGGGCAGTGACAGAGAGATGAACTACCGATGATAGACGATATTATGGTTCTTAGTACACAAAGTAGAAAGAATCCATTCAACTCGTCATGTGTTATAAATTAACAAACAAACATAAAGTTAACTCATTTTAAGAATAATTCAGTACAAAATCCAATAAAGGGAAAGCATCAAACTATAAAGCAACACAGTGTACTTATCTAACACACTTACATGGCTGCAGCTAAAAGATGCAATTCAGGATTGGGATTCCATGCAACACTAGCCGACGGAGAAGATGGTGACCAACTTTCTTCATCATCACTTGGTTGTCCTGTTTCTTCTTCATCAGCATCATCACCTTTATCAGCCACCTGTGAATTATCATCAGTCTTTTTCTGTTTTGATGCTATATCCTTGGTGGGTGGTGTTTTCAACTTATTCAATTTTTCTCTTGTTTGTGGATTAACAAGACGATAGATACGGAAACAATAGTTTGTCGATGTCTCCCAAATACGTAAACAACCATCAGACGGTGATATACTTGCTAACCACTGCCCACATGGTGATACAGATAATGATGTTACACGTCCTGAATGACCGCTGGATTACAAAGTTAAACAATGAAGTAGATTGATATATTGGGGGTTAGGGGAGAAGGATTTAATGATACATTTATTTACTATTCATAAAATAGTAAGTAGTATGATGAAATACTTCAAAAATTATTTTATAACAAAAAGAACAGACTTGACAAATCTACGACCACTATTTAATAAATATTACACTGCCACGATAATGTTCTTATTGTCATCATTATGAAGTGATAAAATAAGATTCAGTACACAAAATCTACTACCCCTATGAATTCGATTTGATTATGTTCAAATGCCGAGGAAATACATTGCACTGATCAAGGCACTCACTCTACTCGACCACATGCAGTTAGCCTGGCGAGAGCTTACCGAGAGCTGTCATCTGAAGTAACAATGACAACCAGTGGTGTCCTTCAGGCACGTCAACTTACAGTCCACATTTCTATTTAATTTCATCATAGATGTACTAAGGGAATTAACCCTAACTGACTTCAGCGACTCAGGGATTGACTTGTTCCACCAGGGAACAGTCTCGTTGACTTAGTATATGCGGGTGATACACTCTTTCTAGGTGAAGACGCTGAAAAAATAGAGCAGCATTCTGAACGCCTTGATGAGCAGCAATCTTCAAATGTTTGGCATACGATTCGCTCCCATCAAATGTAAGGTGATGTTACAGAAGTGGACTACATAGAATCCTAGCTGGCTTAAAGATAAGTGTGGTAAGAGTTGTCTGCAAGCCTAAATTGACGTCAATATTTAGGTCCCGAATCAGGATCATGAGAAAAAAACAAGAACAAAGCCTAACCTTGAGGAACTCAACAACCAATCACAGCAGACTTTGCGTGGGCGGATACGAGTCGCAGATATATCACCGGACTGTCTAAGAAACGGCCACAAAGAGATGACAGAATAACCTTGAGCAAGAAAACAACCAATCAGAAGAAGTTGCCCCTTTGCTAACAATAACGAATAGTAGTGTACATAAAAATCTATAAATATCTCTTGATTTTTTCAGTAAACAATCTGTTGCCTAGCCCTTGTCTTCTGTTGTTACATAGGCAGGAGTGAAGTGGTGGTTGATGGAGGGTGTTGACCACTTCACTTATTTGGTTAGGAATTTGCATCAGCCAACCCCAAAGGATTGATGGCTGTCGAAATCTCGACATGGATACAGATGGCTCGTTTAGCATATGCCAACTCACGCCATCTCTGGCTTGGTGGTATGCGGCTGACTATCTACCAAAAAAACGTGTGTACTGCACACCATCAATTTGCTCAGTCCTCCTTCATCACGTCTGTGAGTGAGACATGGTCATTGAAAGTGGAAAACATGAAAAGGCTGGCTGCCTACTGTCTTTGATCATAGGTTCCTGCCTTCTATCTCCCGTGTTAGGTGGTCGGTGTAATAGGGTGAGCAATATTGAGGTTAGGCTTCAGTCGAGTGTTAGGCAGTTGAGGAGGGAGGAGATGGTTATAACATGTGTTACACATGCATGCCAAGCCATCGATCGCCTTCCTCGACGGGCAATATTAGCTGACTGACATGGGATGGATGCATCAGGTTGGTGGTCAATCCAAAACATAGCTTCACCAGTCAATGAAATCCACAAAAGTTAGTTTGAGCCAGCAAGTCAGCCACGTAGGGATATGTTGACTGGCTGATTGACAGGTTGGGGTCCACGGGATGGTAAAAATCAATAATGGCTGGAGAAAATCGATGATATATGAGTCAAAATCCTCGTTCTCAATGGCTGGCGCATATGCATCCACTCCTTGTGACTTATAATATCCAATAATAACTCTATTGCTCTTCCATATTACTACTATTCTCCTTCCCTGACACTCCTGTTTGTTAACTGTCTTTCGAACGTTCCTTTACCCCCGTCGTTTACTTTGTGTACTACAAGGAGTATGGCAACTGGAACTGCTGCACATCTGTAAAAAGTTCTGTGTTGAAACCAGCCAGTTAGTCAGTCAGTCAGTCATTTAACACTATGCAACCAACTACTGTAAATTTTTATAAGTCAATCACTTAGAAATATAAGTACTGGCCAATTTTATTTCACTAATACTTGCTAGGTAGATAACACGTCACTGCGTGCAACTGATGCAATAGATAATTATCTATTTGAAGATGTTCTTCTTCCTTTTCAATGTGCTAAGCGTCAGCTTTAACAACTGCAACCTTGTCTGACTGACTGGTTTCAACGTAGAACTTTGTACCGATGTGCAGCAGTTCAAGTCGCCACACTCCCTCCTTGTAGCACACAAAGCAAAAGAAAGTAAAAGGAAATGCAAAATATAGACAGTAAACAGAGACATGAGGCAAAAAGAATAGTAATATCGAAGAACAATATAGTTTCATTGGAAATTATAAGTCACAAGGAGTGGATGCATCTGCGCCAGCCATTGACAACGAGGATGTTGAGACACATCACCAATTGTCTATAGCCCTCATTGGTTTTTACAGTCCCGAGGACCCCAACCAGTCAGTCAGCCAGTCTTACACTTTCCTACGTGGCTGGTTTAAACTTACTGACAAAGATTTCATCGACTGATGAGGCTATGTTTTGGTTTGACCACCACTAGCTCTTTTCCAACTTGATGGCGATGGCTATGAATACGTCACACATGTCCTAACCATCTCAGTTGATGTAACTTCACAGCCTCATCTATGGATTTCCCCTCCTTACCTAGCACTCAACCGAAGCCTAACCTCAATATTGATCACACTATTATACCGATCCCACCTAACACGGGAGATAGAAGGCAAACACCTATGATCAAAGACAGCTAGCCAGCCAGCCTTTTCATGTCTTCCACTCTCAATGACCATAACTCACAGCCATAAAGGAGGACGGAGCAGACTGCTGAGCAGTACACACGCCTTTTGGTCGACAGCCAACCGGATATCACGTCTACTTAGCCAGAGACGGCATGAACTGGCATATGCGAAACGAGTTTTCTGTATCTGTGCTGAGATTTCGTCAGTGATCACCTACCCGTTGGGGCTGGCTGATACAACTTCCCAATTAAGTGAAGTGATCAACACGCTAGGTCACCACTTTACTCCCTATTTCTAAGCTAGGAGTGGGTCAATGTACTACAGTCCTGTAGCATCATCTTACATTTGGCGGTAACGAATCGCGTGCCAAACATTCACAGATCCGCCTTATCTTAACATAATTATGTATAGATATGAGAAGTAAAAACGGAAAACAATAGAAAAACAACTTTTGTAAAAGAAAAAGAAAAAAAGCAAAGAAAACACAAATTTTTTACCTGTATTGTAATCCTAAATGACTTGGATAAGGTCTCAATTGTGATAGACTTGGTATAGGTGGTAGCATAGCCTCAGGTGTAGTTGAAATTCGTTGTTTTTCAAAACGTGTAGCCATTATTAAATCTTTAACACGTTCTTCACGTTCACGTAGATAACGTTCAGAGAATGGTACATGCCTTAAACATGCAAACTTGCGAGGCATTTGTGGTGGAATCCGTGATACATGCCCATCGTGTACACGTTCTCGCCAGGCTTTCATAACTTTCTTTTCCTATAATTTTTTAAAATACAAAAGCGATAGTATAAAATTCAAGTAATTTAGATATGGTGTCAGCTAGCCATATATACATGGTTCTAGTTCGACCCCCTACAAACGCACTTTTAAATCTATCTCGTCTAGTTAAACTATCCGGTAGGTAGTAAACCGGGAAAGCGGAGAAGGTTTGAATGTGAGGATGTCAATCTTACACTGTAAAATCAGCTCAAAAAGGCATGAAGCATTCCTAGGCAATCGAGAGGAAAGCAATCAAGAATCTAGGTTTTGTGCTTGTTTGGCAGTCATCCCCTCTGGGATTAAAACCCGCGTTATCCTGTACTGCAGTGAGACATATTACCACTGAGTTATTCCTGCTGACGATTGACCTACTGTAGGACTGTAATAGATGCTACACGGATTGGTCAATACGGAAAGTAACCAATGTCAGACATGTAGTTTTTGGTATCGGGGGTCATGAGTTCCTTCAAGGTGATTGCAGATACGCTTGGCTGACTGGTAAGTGCCAATACGTACAAAACCTAGATCAAGGGCTTTCTGCTAACTACCTCAAACCATTTAACATCAATTCAGAGTGTATAGTGATGGCGAGCAGCCATTGAGCCTTATTGATCACATTGCAAACTTTACTCTGATAGAATTCAGTCTACACCAACACTAAAAACTAAACACATGACAGTACTTATCCCGCCCCCCTCCCCAAGTGACTAATCGATGTTGTTAAAACGCACACACTTGGTATATTATGTACACCAAGAGATGCACTACACAGAATCCCAAAGTTTAAACGAGGACTGGGATGCTTTTCAAACGCCCAGGCCGAAACAAGTGGTTGTGTTTAAGAGGCTAACCCCCCCCCCTTCGCTCGCCCCAGTTCTTCACTTGAAGTCTAATCCATAAGGCAGTGGAGCAACATCACTAGCTACGTTCCAATAGTTTCCGGTGACCAAGACAGATTCATATGCCACCAACCAATTCTGTCGTATTCCAGAGGCCATATATACAATAGGTTTGGAGTCAGGATTTTCCAGCTGTCCTTGATAGACCTGCATATCCACCGATAGGGTTGTAAACGCCAGACGTTCGTATTTACTCTTTCCCATTTGTGACGAACACCTCACAAAGTAAAATGAAGATAAATAACTACTGAATGATTAACACCATAATTATAAATAACTTCAGACTAAACACGTGAGATTGATTGGCGAAGAGCAGCCGGGGTTTCGTTCAGGTCGTGGATGCATTGATCATGTGTTCACCCTTCGTTAGTTGTTGGAACACCACCACACGCATTGCAGGCCAACAATCGTTGTGTTTCTTGATATTAGGGCTGCCTTCGATTCGTTGGACAGAACTGTGCTCTAGAACTGTCTGTTGGAGAGGGGTGTACCTGAAAAATTTCTGGAGTCAACTCGGAAGGGCGTGAGTGAAGGTGGTGTAGATCTGCTCCCTGGAGAGAAACTTTTCGACCTCGAGTATGCAGATGATATCGTCTTACTGTGCGATATAATGCAGACTGCCCAAATCGCACTCAATCAGTTGGTGATCAGTGTCTGTATGGCATGTACTTTGTGCCATCTAAGTGCAAATAACTGTTTCAAGATTGGGAGGAGCCTGTACCTGCACTCACTCTTGCACATAGACCACTTGAATTTGTTGATGAGTTTGTGTATCTGGGTAGTTGTATGAGTGCTGGCGGAGGGGTGACGGATGAGATTTCCAACCATATCATGAAGGCTAGAGTGGCATACGTTAACTTTAACCACCTCTGGCGCCGTCGCGACGTCAACCTGGTTGGCAAACGTCGGGTTAATAATGCTTCGGTGAGTGCTGTCTTGCTCTACGCCTGTGAAACCTGTCCTATCCGAGCTGATGATGTGCGGCGACTCTGAGTATTCCATCAACACTGTCTCCGCATGACTGTTTGCGTTCGACGGCATCATCGCGTGAGAAATTCTGAGGTCCAGCGGTGTGTTCGGACACAGTGGAGATCATCATTCGTTGAGTGTTGCCATCTGGAAACACTGGCTTCGGTGGTTCGGACATGTGCTGCAAATGTCATTCCAGAGGTCTCCGTACCGGAGGACTCTGTTCACTAGCCAGCCTTGGGACAGGATGAAAAAGTGGGGAAGTCTTCAGCCCATGACGTGGTGTCGTGGGATGAAGGATATTTGTGTTAGGTTAGCATCGGTTAATGAGTCACGACTCTCCAGGTTGCGGTCCAAGAGATTGCTCAAATCGGTGGCTCAAAACGTTATCGGATATGGTCAAGAATCGCAATCAATGGCGAATGCACTGCAACTTCCTACTTTCTTCCCTTTCCGACGATAATTGACGAATGCTGTTTGAACCTGTTAAATATGACCGTTTTCCTTTCATCAGATGAATTACTTTATCCGTTCTCTACCCATATTTTCGCTTTTACACTATGTTGTTTTATTATTATTGTTATTATTATTTATAGAAAATCTACCTGGACAGGACAGTATCTTAATTATCACAGTTTCTGCCCTGTTCTGTATAAAAGAGCCTTAGTAAGGTGCCTCTTCAGTAGAATCCAACGAATATGCACTGAAGACACAACTGATGAAGAAGAAAGAAAGTTGACACAAACTCTGGTTGATAAAAACTATCCAGACAAGTTCATCAGGAGATATATATCAGATATATCTAAGCCCCTTGAACATGCGAAAAATGATGTCACATCCCACTGTATTTACCAATTTGAATGTACGTATGGACACACATACATAGGGAGGACTCATCGATCTTTGCAAGTAAGGGCTGGCTTCACAGAATATTCGTAAATGGCTCCAGAAACAAATGGAATCTTCAGAACCCATTAATGGTGAGAACAGGAGACCTGGCTCCTCTCTTGCAAAACATATTATTAATAAAATAAAATAATAAATAATCGGACCATTAAATTACTTTGAAATAGCATTAATACTAACCTAAGTTAGAAACCACAAGTACACTAGCATACACAAGGTTATGAGTCGCATATAAAGTGTAAAAGCTGGATGATCAAGCCTCTTTAAGTAGGATAATATTTAAAATCATAATTTATTGGTAATCGATTGAAACCTACCTCATCTTTTGATAGTATAAATTCTGGAGGTGGATTATAAGAAGCTATATGTCCAGGCAAAGGTTCTTCTGGAGCTTTTTGATACGGTCTTGGTCTTGGCGGTCGATAATCTGAAGCTAACATTGGAAGTTTTGATCTCCATGAATCAGTTTGTGTATCTGCTTGACTAATTTCATTGTCTTGATCATTCCAAACATCTGGAAACACATAGGATGATACATTGAAAGAACTGAAGCTTAAAGGCTCTTCATCATAATCTGCATCCAATACATCTGGATTCCCTGAAGTCATGTATGCAGCATATCTTCGAAGTTCTTCAGGATCATCTGGATCACTTAACGCCCAAGATGGTAATTTTGGTACAAGCCAACCACTTTTGATTGCATGAACCATTCTGCCAACCTGTAAAACAGAATCAGATCCAACATAGAAACCAGAAGGCATAAATTGCTGAAATCATATAAATACCTTCAACAACAAAAGAAATCAGCCTTCATCATTTTATGGTTTTTTTTGGAGAAGTCACAAATGTATGAAACATGCTGATTACACAATACAAATCGAAACAAGTGAAGATTATTTATGTATTTAGTCATGGATAACAAGAGATTATATTGAATTTTCAGACCATTATACATCTGGGTGTGCGTCGGTGGCACATCGGTAGACTGCTTACCAACTACACAGGTGGTTAGGGGTTCGATCCCCGGCAATACGGAAGCATTCCTTTAACTCGCTAAGCTAATATTAAGACTGGTAACGAGGGAAGGTTGGGCACGAGGCTAGCAACCCCATCCTGTAAAAAAAAACAAATGCCACTGCTACCAAAACTTCAGACCTCTAGCTTGAAATCCCAAGTTCCACTGGGAACGTAAAGAAATAAAAAATGCATGTAGGGATAGTTTGTTTAAGGTTAAGTTAACAATGCCAATGAGACTTTCATGTAGATCGTGAGAAGTACCTTCATAGAAAAACACTTTAACACAGTAGTTGATTTTATCCTCTTTTGTGATTGCGAGATACAATTGCTGAAAGAGGAAGATATGACGATGTTACAGGGTTTTTCTTTACCTCAAGTGACTTCACCCAACTTTTCCTGTTGTGTGAAGCAACATGGTAAGTGATCATGAAGTTGGATATGGTGTTAGGTAAGGTGGGAAAGATCTAGAAGGTTGTGAAGCTCTACTGATCAAGGTGGCTGAAAGATGTGTGATGTGCGTCAAGCTGAATTCAGACTAAGCTGTTAAATTCAGCAGTAGTCAAAATAAAACGCGGTACCAACCCATTAAATCACCAAGCTTTGATCAAAGCAATACACAGTTGTCATTTGCACTAATGGTTTTAACAGGATGGTTGTACACTAATTTGTGAAATGCCTCCAAATGGCTTTTTTGTTTTCTACTTTTGTATATATTTTTCAGAAATGTTACAACTGGTAATCAAGCTGCCCAACTGAGTTTCAGCATAGGACTTTGTACAAAAGTGAACCAGTTCAAGCCGTCACACGCCATTTAATACGCAAAAGAAAAGAAAAGAAAGTAATTCAATAGAACCAAAATAAGCAGAGGTGTACGGCAGAAAGAATAGTTACATGGATATGGTACGTCACAAAGATTGAATGCGTTGTTACAAGATTGGACCACACCGACCCCTAGATTAGAAATAGGAAGTAAAGTGGTAGAGCACGTTGACCACTTCACTTACTTGGGAAGTACCATCAGCCAATGTCAACGGGTTGATCTCTGATGAAATCTCAGCACGAATACAGAGGGATAGTTTCGCATATGCCAGTTTACGCCGTCTCTGGCGTAGACGTGATATCCGACTATCGACCAAAGGGCGTGTGTACTGCTCAGTAGTCCGCTCCGTTCTCCTTTATGGCTGTGAGACCTGGCCATTGAGAGTGGAAGACATGAAAAGATTAGCTGTCTTCGATCATAGGTGTCTGCGTTCTATCTCCCGTGTGAAGTGGTATAATCAGGTGAGCAATATTGAGGTTAGGCGTCGAGTGCTAGGTAGGTGGGGGGAGAAATCAGTCAACGAGACTGTGAAATTACATCGACTGAGATGGTTAGGACATGTGTTACGTATGCCTAGTCATCGCCTTCCTCAACAATGGGCAATGTTAGCTGATATAGGGTCAGGTTGGAAAAGAGATAGCGGCGGTCAAACGAAAAAATGGCATCAGTCAATGAAATCTACAACAGTTAGTCAAAGCCAGTCACGTAGGAAGGTGTAGACTGGCTTCGTGGTTGGGGTCCTCGGGACGGTAAAAACCAATGGTTGGAAACATTTGGTGACATGGTTGAAAATCGTTCTCAATGGCGCAGATGCATCCACTCCTTGTGACTTATGATTTCCAATTAAACTGTTTTTTCTTCGTTATTACTATTCCTTTGTCTCACACCTCTGTTTACTGTCTATATTATGCATTTCTCCTACTTTCTACTCTTGCTTTGTGTTCTACAAGGAGGGAGTGTGGCGACTTGAACTGCTGCACATATGTGCAAAGTTCTATGTCGAAAACCGACCGACCGACCGAATGCATCTGTGCCGTTAAAAACAATTTAGAGCCATATCATTAACAGCCTCATTTCATTAGTTCTAACCATGTCGAAGACCCCCCTCCACAACCAGACTACCTGCACCTCCCTACGTGGTGGGCTCAAACCAACTGCCAAAGAATTTACGGATTGACCGCAGATTTTAGTATGACCACTCCTTACTGTTTTCCAACCTAATCTTATTTCAGATAACACTGTTCAGTGAGGCACGGGGCGGTTCGGGATGTGCAACACTTATCCAAGCAGTCGCGATTGATGTGGTTTCACAATCCCATTGATTAACTTGTCCCTCCCGTAAGTTAACACTGCATCTAACCCTGAATACTACTGAATACATAATACCACTGAACACGAGAGATATAACGCAAATGTTTGTAGTCAAGGAAAGAAAACCTCTTCACATCTTCCACTCTGAAAGACCACATCGCACAGCTATAAAGGAGGGTAGGGCAAAGTGCTAAGCAGTGCACACGTCTTTTCATCGATAATCTGACGTCACGCCTACTCCAAAAATGACATAAGTTGGTAAATGTCGCACAACCCATTTATATCTGTCTTGAATAGTTGTCAACAATCATTCTATTAGGACTGATGCGACTTCCCTAGTAAATGAAATGATCGACACGCTCAACCACTTCACACCCTACCTTGAAACAAGGAGTGCGTAAAAGCCACTCCTGCAATATCATCTTACATTTGACAAGAGTGAATCGCATATGAAATATAGAAAGATTTTTGCTCCAGGTGCATATTGTCAGCGTCTTCGCCTAGGTGAACAGTATCATGTGCATACTGTAAGTCGATGAAAGTCGTTGAAATCACTTAGGGTTACACATCCATCAGTACACCTATAATGATATGAAACAAAAATGGAAACAACGCGTGTCCTTGACGGACACAACTGGTCATCATCACTTCAGGTGACAACTCTTCGTAACCTCTTAAACAGCTGAGTAAGCTCAAGTAGAGTGCCTTAACTAGTGCAAACAGCAACTAGGCACTTTTATGAGACGCTTTACGCTGTTAGTCGACTTAATGACAAAGGCTTTCAATCCACTTGTCTTTAAGATTGCATATTAAAGACTCAGAAGAATTTTCATCCCTGTATGTTTAACTCTTAATAGATATTCTGACAGGAAAACGTTAAAAATCACAGTTTTATTATATTATGCAATAGCTAATAATAGGTGAATGGAAGTAAAATTTAAATGCATTTTAGTAGAACATTCAAAACTTTTGGAATCATAAAAGACAAGTGAACAGTCATCATTTATACATAAATTCAGGAAATTCAACTGTTTATCCATTGCAACACCAAAGACAAATAAACATAAAGGGTGAACAGTGAGAACACAAGACCTATCATTCTACTGGTTCACTAAGCAACATCACATATTGAAAAAAAGGAACAAGCTGAAGTCCAGTGACAATGGCATTACTGAAAACAGTCATATCACAAAAGAACGCATAACTTAATCACATAAGAACAAAGGTGGTCGGAAATGAAATGTCCAGTTTCTATAAGATAGCTTATTTGTCCAGCATTGAAGTGGGTGGAAGGAAATTCGAGCCCACTGACAGGTAGAATTGACTCAGTGGCTTAAACCCATTGGTATAGGGCTCGAAACCAATTCCATATAATTTAACCTGGTTAACTGAGTAGCAACATCAGTCCTAGCATTATGAATATGGCTGCTAGCCTAGTACGTGATGACCTTTTTAAAAAGACATTGAGAAATTTAAAAGGCTAAGTCAATCAGCCATATTTCTAAAACACGAGGTGCATGCATCTATAAGCACTACGAAGTTATCAATATCCTTTGTTTTAAAATGCATTTACGGGTAGATTGAGATTCACTACATTTATGTAACTTGATGTGTGGTATAGTCCCAAGGTAATTTGATCAACAGTTAAGGAAAAAACTAATGACTGTAAAAAATATAAATGTAAGCTTAAATTTAAACAATAATTATACATTCATGCTATTTAAATCAAACTGAGCAGAACAAAGAACTCAAAACAAAAGTGCAGCAATTAAAGTTGCCATACATCAAGGTAGAAAACAGAAATGCAAGGAAAACATAATAAGTTGAAATGTACTGGAGAAGGGACCATTACGCAGAGATAATACAAAGGGTGAGTGCAGCTGAGCTATTCAAATCGATTCTGAATTATACCACCAACAGTCCCAATCCAGTAATCCTTACCGTCTCAAGGATCACAGTCTGAGTCTTCACCAAACAATTCATGTATTACTTTTGTTTTGACCTAACCACTCCCAACTCTTATTCAGCCTAATCTTATAGCATCTAACATTACTCATCGAAGCTGATGGCTCACCATGAGCAACACAAATATTAGCCATCTCAACCGATGTGATTTCACTCCGTCGACTGGTTTATTCTTCTCACCTTAATACTATCACGAGGAAGTAAGATGTTATGGTGATAGCAACGATACCATGAAACTGTTTACATCATTAACTAAGAGCTTAATGATGTACTCAACAAACTAAGATTAACTAGATTATTCAATAAGACGTTAGAATGTCGAAATAATGAAGTTATGTTAAATAAACAAACACTGTAAAATTTCGAAATGTCAAACCACAGATTAGTATGAAAAGTAACTTACGCGTCTTCTATCCAGAAGAGAGGGAATAAAGCTCCTTTTCTGAGGAGGATGGGCAGTCAAGGGCATTTGCATGACATCTTTAGTGAACCATTCTTCCCATTTCTAAGGCATTAATTACAAAAGTTCGTTTACCTCAAATGGTTCTTCATTAGGATCAACCTTTACACCCTCACCCTTAGATGTTTTATGAATAATCTCCAAGTCACGATCACTTAAAACCACCAACTGGCCTGTTAGTGGATCACGTATTGAACGCCACTCAACGCCAGATTCACCATCCGCAATGTTAGCATTTCGAAGAAATTCATCAATCGCATCAGATTTCCCATTGTAAACATCTGGCTTCATGATTGGTCTGCCGGATGTATCATATCCAATATGTGCCAGAGAATCATACCACTGCAAAGGTATGTTTCCAACAGTGTTCCTCACATCCTAGGACCCAATAAACACAAATAACGCTATCTTACTTCTTCATCAGATGAATCGAAGTCATACTCATTTACCGTCCCTAAAGACGACATCCCAACGTGCACGACAAGTAACGCAGACGTTATAGTTGCCGCAAATAAATTAAATTTGACGTGATTGTTCAATAGGCAATATCCTTCTCACTATTTAGGAAAAGCCAGATATTTTAGGTTTGCTTACTAGCATCTAACGCTCCATGATCTTCAGTAAGCTTTTGTGTCATTCATCCTACCATTCTACCTGCCATAGCTTTGATGGCTTCTCAAGTGGAGTGATATGTGAAGTTCCAATGTCCAATATCGTTTTTACGGGCGAGTATGAAACCAATTTGATTTCTTTGTGCTCGCCTCTTGATTGTGAGGTATAGGTTCCTGATCTTCGGTAAACTTCTGCGTAGCTCATCCCGCCACTCGACTGTCGGTTGACTCCAAAAGGAGTAGTGCAGGGATTAATTATATGTGGTTTGTAGTATGAGGTGTCTTAGGACTGTTACTACTGTGAATTGAGTTGATCCTTTCACTAGTTAGTCCTCCGGTATCGTCGTCAAAAGAAAAGAGATAATAATAATAGATATAATTAGTGAAGTTATTAAGACTAACAGACAGAAAAAGAAATAAAGAAAACGTAACAACAGTCATCTGAATAAATTTGAAATTGATATATATATCAATAATAATAATGTGTTGATTGCATTGCATTTCTATCATCGAGTATATTTATAGCGAGGCACCTGTAATACCGGATTTAGCATTTTCACCCATCAGTCATCCCTTGTGGTTGAAAAACGTAACAATAGTATAATTATTACCAAATATTTTAATTTTTTAATTTTTTCCCAATGGTTCTCTAACCAATGTCAATTTTCAGATTTAGATTCAGATTATAAGGATAGAAGGCTCTTGTTGCCTATGTTGCTGCTTTATTTTGACTGAATTAGAGTACACGTATCTTCTAGTATTTCTTCGCGTTTATAATTGTGACCTAACGTTGCGATTACTCGACATCCGCAACGTAATTCAAAAGGCACTTGCGAGGGAATACGATAGTGTATTATTGCAGCAATCAGCAATTCAAAAATCGAGCGAGTACAAAAAGTTTCAATTGTTAACATGCAAGATTTAGAGTAATAAACAAATCAAAGTACAATTGCATAATGAAAGTATACTGCGATGATGATTAATAAAACGGGTCACCACACCTATGTTAATCCTTGCGATATATATCTCTGCAGAGATCCAGTTTCTCTTTGAAAGAGTTCACCGATGGAGCTGTTACTACTGCATCAGTTAAGGAGTTCCAGTGGTTGACCACTCTTTGGGAGAATCTAAACTCCACGCGTATTTTATTCGACCTCGGTTTGAGAACCTTCTTGTAAATGTATCATAGAAGGAGAGAAAAGGTTTGAATATAAGGTAAGCCAAAATTAGGTCGCCTCTCCTCCTTCGGTATGATAATGAGGAGAGATTTAAATGCACCATCCTTATATCATAAGGAAAATGTGAGATACCACTAACTAATTTTAGTTCCTACACTCTATATTCTTTCCAGGATATGTGCCTCCTTTTTGTAGCATGGACTCACCGCTTGTATGCAGTACTCTAGATGAGGTCTGACATATGTTGCATCGAGTACTTGGAGCATACCCTCGTCTAATCGTTTGAAAGCCCTTTGAAGTGCCCATAGCATTCGAAAAGCCTTAGCTGCAGCTCGATTACAATTTGCCGTTGTTTTTAAGTCATGGCTTACAATAATTCCTAAGTCCTTTTGTCCCCTAACATCTGGCAGTTCTGTGTCCCCCATGGAGTACGACGTGTAAGAATTCTGGCCTGGGTGCATTACCGCGCTATTCTTGGAATTAATTTACAGACTCAAAAGGTTAGCCCATTCGGCTAATTTATCATCGCCACTATTTACAGTTTTCCGCAAACACTAATAATAATAATTTATATTTCGTATAAACGGGTAAGTTTACAAGAAATGCATACCATTTTTACAGGCACGATCAGTAATGGTATAAATTACAATCCTGAAGTATCATAAATTAATACTTGTACGAAAGTTTAAATTGTTCAATTATTGTACAAGCAATTAGAACAGGTTCCTATAATTGTAAAATTGTAAACCGTTTACTGATGTTATCACCAAAGTTGAGCGACAACCCAAACTTCGTTCCGTTTCCTGCTGATAGTTATGGTCAACCAGTGAACAGCGAATATATGCTATGCTATGCCGCCACGTGATTGAACGCTATTTCGGGAAGAGAAGAAAATTCTGCACAGCTGCAAAATGGTATAAAATGCAATTATGAATAATACATTATTGGAAGTATATTTACAAGATAAATACAAAAAGAAGAAGCTGTATAGTACTTGAAGTGATAGTATGCATTTGCAATGTGTAATGATAGCCATATTGGTCTAAGCATGGAAAATATGATGTTTTCGATGAAGATATACCTTTGTTTTGATAAAGGCCTAGGTAGTTAAGATCAGATAGATTATAACAGTGCGTAAATAAAAAGATTATTGTGAGGTAGGTAAGTGATATTTAAGTGAGGAGTGAATTCAAAGATCTGGAAAATTAGAACCCGTAGAACAAGCTGACTTGTTAGATGCCTCACGAATTTCTGTAGGGCCCAACGGGTAGCATCTTGACAAGAAGCTGAACAGGCTTGTAGATGGTAGGAGCAAAAGCAATTTTTATATTTGTAATTTAGATCTGTACAACCCTTATTATTTTTCGTTTTTTATTGTTGAGGGTCCAGACTAATGTTTAATTCTCGAGCTGTCAAAAAATGCATGTTGCTGTCCTACAGATCGGAGCGATTCACAATTGTGACTACTACCAAATTTGCTGATCAGCATGCGCCACACTCCCTCCTTTTTGACGTTAAGTTCTGGGATGTTTTGCAACAACTGTAGTTGCTGCATTGCATTGCTTTGAGCCCATCCCAATCATACAGTATGCCGTACATTAATAGCTTTCATGACAACCGCTAACCTCGCCTAGTTTTCTAGCCGGTCCCAAGCCTGGATAGAGAAGAAAGGTTGGGGCGTGGTGCTAGCAATTCCACCCCCAAAACTTAACCAAATCGCCACAGAAACTTCAACGCATAAATATATTCAAAATACTAAAAATATAAACAATAGCATTATTCTTCGCTGGAATCCGGGAAGTGAAATGACACAGGCTGGCGAAGGCCTTCGGGAAGCCAGTCAGCCAATGTGCCTCCTTTCGATGAAAGCAAAAATAAGGATGGGCACGTGGAATGTTCGTACAATGTACGAAGCTAGAAAGGCTGCCAGGTAGCCGCAGAAATGAGAAGATATGGAATAGAAGTGTTGGGATCCCGCGAGAGTAGATGGAACGGATGTGGAAGGTGCCAACTAACAACTGGAGAGACAGTAATCTATTCTGGTCACCCAGAGGACAACCACGAGCACACAGAGTGAGTGGCCATCATGATGTCACCAACAGCAGCCAAGGCTCTCATGCAGTGGGAACCAATCTCCTCCAGGATAATGACAGCCAGGTTCAACTCAAAAGGAAGGAAGGTTACAATCATTCAATGCTATGCGCCTACAAACAATAATGGAGAACGTCCCAAACGGCGATTTCAGAATCCTGATGGGTGATATGAATGCGAAACTGGGAGGAGACAATACAGGAAGAGAATTCACCATGGGTCGCGAAGCTTTCGGTGAAATGAACAACAATGGTGAACTCTTCTCAGACTTCTGCGCCTTCAATGATTTGGTGATTGGTGGCAGTGAGTTCAAACACAGGTATATACACAAATCGACATGAATTTCACCAGATGGACACACCAAAAACCAGATAGACTTCATTTTAATCTCAAGGAAGTGGAGACGAAGCCTACTGGACACAAGATCGAGGAGAGGAGCAGATGTGAGTTCAGACCACTATCTAGTACAAGGGATTTTCAAGGTGAAGCTAAAAGCCTCGAGGATACCTGGGGATAAGCCACAATGCAAGTTCAACACGCAAAACTGAAGGACACAACCACAAAGGACATTTTCACTGCAACGGACACTTGGAAGCTAATAGAGGAGAGGAGAATGGTGAAAGAGAAAATGATTCAATGCAAAGACGGACAAGAGAAGGAGACGCTGAGTTCAACTTACACAGCAGTGGACAAAGAAGTGTAGAAGAGTGCCAGGAAGGACAAAAGACAATTGTTCGACAACCCGGCTACTGAAGCGGAGAAGGCAGCAGGTAAAAGGGACCTGAGGACACTATATCAGATAACCAAGTTTCTATCCGGGAAGAGATCAACACAAGTGAAACCTATAAAAGACAGCCAAGGGAACTCACTTACCAAGGAAGAAAGACAGATTAAACAAGGGGCGGATCACTTCGAAGGACTCTTGAACCGACCACCACCTGCAACCCGTCCAGAAATACCAACAACAGCACGTACACAACTGCAAGTTGACACCAATCCTCCAGCAAAGGCTGAAGTCTTGAGTGCAATCAAGCTTCTGAAAGCTGGAAAAGCAGCTGGACCAGATGGAATACTCCCGGAAGCACTGAAAGCGGACCTGGAAACGACATCAGATATGCTGACTCCATTATTGCGAAAGGTCTGGAAGGAAGGAAAAGTGCCTACTGACTGGAGGAAAGATTACCTCATGAAACTACCTAAGAAAGGCGACCTGGGACTCTGCAGGAACTGGCGAGGAATCATGCTCCTGTCGACGCTAAGTAAAATCCTGAGTGGCATCATCCTGGAGAGAATAAAGGACGCACTGGATACAGAACTCCGACCAGAACAAGCTGGATTCAGGAAAGGCAAATCATCCTGTGACCAAATTGCTACTCTACGCATCATCATCGAACAAAGCATGGAATGGCAATCAAATCTCCACCTCAACTTCATAGACTTTGAGAAGGCCTTCAACAGCGTTGACCGCGAAGTAATTTGGAAACTACTCGAGTACTACGGCGTACCCCAAATATTCATCAACCTTATTCAACAGCTGTACGACAACGGCACATGTCAAGTGATCCACAACGGAATACTCAGTGAGGC